ATTCCCTGGATTTTCAGTTCCTATCTGTACCAGTGTACATCCTCTGGTCTAGCCAGACTTGCAAGGTCGAATTGAGTCATGGTAGTGGGAGCAGGGAAGAAACATTTAGGAACTAGAGGAAAGTTGTATTTTTCATCGTTGTTACATCACACCGACTGGCTCTATACTTTTTGATAGCCAGGCACCATCAGCTTTCTTCGCCACATTTGCTTATGCACCTATTTGTCTTCAGTGATCCATTCGACACCTCGTGATCACACAGGCTGATATGTTGTTCCATGTGGGCTTTGTTGCTTCTGAGCTAGATGTCCGTTTGTTTACCTTCAAGCTTTTAAGACCCCAGACACTATATATTTTGATAGCCGGGCACCATCAGCTTTCTCCACCACATTTGCTTATTCACCCGCTTTGTCTTCAGTGGTTAACACAGGCCTTTTAAAGAAACCCGTCCGCAACAGCAGGCCAGCGTCAGTGAGCCCATGAGCCTCTCGCCCAGCTTCAACAGCGGCTCCCCGAGAACCTCCAATTCTCACTCCTCTGATAGCCCTTAAATGGGGTTTTGCACTGTGGGCCAAGTTCTCGGTTGTGGGGGCATACTCCACACACTAGCTGCTCAGCATCGTCTTGGCCTTTACAAACCAGTAGTGCTAACAGCTCCTTCTTCCCAAGTTGTGACGGCCAAGTCCGCCGTTGCCAGGGGTCCCCGGGGACACCCTCCCAATTGATCTTATGACTGGGGCCCTGGTGGCGGCCACTCTCGATCCATCTCCTTGAGGGCCTTTGTTTTCGCTTCACCCATGACGTCTTCCAGGGACTGGTCTCTCTGAACCTGTCCAAAGTGCCTACGACAAAGTCTTCTCTGCCTATAAAGCGCATTCTGACTGTACTTCTAAAATTGGTCTGCCCGTCTGTGGTACTTTCAGTATTATTTGCCAGCACCATAATTCTAATGCATTGATTCTTCTTTGGTCTTCCTTATTCTGTACCCAACCTTCACATGTATCTGAGGCCCCTGAACCCCCCATGGCTTGGGGCAGGTGCACTTTGGACCTTAGTCCGGAAAGGTAGGGTGTGGGAGGAGGGGGAAGCAAATTCCCAGGTGGCAGCATCAAAAGATGGGCGGGGTTGGTAAAAAAATCACAGATGGTTGAGAACCACTAAAAGGTAAGTTGCCATGTACAACTGGTACACCAGAAATACCACAAGGAGGGTGGTTTTAATCTTCTCACTAACTAGGAGGCTGAAAGTCTGGATTCAATATTCGGACTGTAGGGGAGCCCCATTGTCAGCTCTGGAACAAGGTCCTTGACTCTGGTGGTTTCAAACTGCTCAGTGTGACCACTACACACCACGCCACCAGGACGCCTTTCAGGTTCTGCACCTGGGTCATCTTGTGGCTTGGCATCTAACTCTGCTTCCATGGCTGGTTTATTTAATGCCTTTTTTATTTCCAGAGATTTGACTTAAAATGCACCCACAATAATCCTGTCTTTTAACATAACAAAAACAATCCACTTTCAATAAGATTACCACCTCAGGCATCAGCCTCTTCCCCCACATTCCAAGAAGCTGGTCTGGGAAGGGCTCAGACTGCAGCTGCACACCAGGAAGCCTCCTTCTTATAGGCACAAGCACCAGCAGCTCTCTTCACCTCATTTGCTTATTTCCCTGACTCAAATCCTACAAATATCTCACTGCTCCACCAATGGGTACAATTTCCCTGACCTAACTCTTAGGTCTTGGAACTGCCCAAGAGCTCGAAATGCTCCCATCCCTTCCTCTGTTCTCCCTTCCCTCCCGGGAGCTCTTTCCCTACCCTAATAAAGCCAGTCTTCACGTCCTTTGTCTCAATTCTATCTCGGTTCATTGCCTCAGCGTTGACCTCTCAGTGTTAACAAACCCAGGGACAAGGGAATAAGTGATCTAAAATCGACAAGGAGGGCATAGGAGGCCTGGTATAGGGCATGATCAAGGACAATGTAACCAAGAGGAGTTCCTGAAGCCCAAATGAAGGCTAAACATGATAGTGGGATGAGGGAAATAAAAAGAAATAGAGGAAAGAACTAGGAGGCAAAGGGCATTTACAGAAGTCTAAATACAGGCATATACAATGTAAATATATGATGATGGGAAAATAGATCTATGTGCATATATTTAGAGGTTTAGTATTAAGGTAGCAGATGGACATTTGGCCTCTATTCAAATACTCCCTCAACGCAAGAAAACTTTGTTCTATTAACCCGGCATTCCATGATGCTCACCTCCATGATGTGATCGCTGAAGACAAATGGGTACATAAGCAAATGTGAGGACGAAAGCTGATGATGCCCGGCTATCAAACGATAAAGCGTCTGGGGTCTTAAAAGGCCTGAAGATAAACAAGTGGCCATCTAGCTCAGAAGCAACAAAGTCCACATGGAAGAAGCATACCAGCCTGTGTGACCATGAGGTGTCAATGGGATCAGGTATCAAAGTCCCAGAACAAAAAAATCTTATCATTGTGAATGAGGGGGGAGTGCAGAGTAGAGACCCAAATCCCATCTGTAGACAATTCAACATCCCCTTACAAGTTTGCAGGGAGATGAGCCTGTCAGGGTGCAGTATAGCACCGATGAAACTTTGCTCTAGTTGTTCAATACTCCCCCACCATCCCAATTGACCCCAATTCTACCTCACAAATCTGGCTAGACCAGAGCTTATACACGGGTACAGATAAGAGCTGGGAACACAGGGAATCCAGGACAGATGAACCCCTCAGGGCCAATAATGAGAGTAGCCATAACAGGAGGGTCAGGGGAAGGTGGGGAAAGGGATGGATCACAATGATCTACCCATAACCCCCTCCCTGGGGGATGAACAACATAAAAATGGGTAAAGACATCAGTCAGTGTTAAGACATGAAGAAATAATTTATAAATTACTAAGGGTTCATGATGAACAGAAGGGAGAAAATGAGAAGCTGATACCAGGGCTGAAGTAGAAAAATGTTTTGAAAATGTTAACAAATGTGCTTGATACATACAGTGGATGGATGTATGGATTGTAGTAAGAGTTGTACAAGGCCCCAATAAAATGATTTTAAAGGGGGGTGGTGTGTGTGCAGCGTGAACCTTGTTGGCACAGGTTACTTTTTGGGCTACTAACTGCAAGGTCAGCAGTTCAAAACGACCAGCTGCTCCATGGGAGAAAGATGAGGCTTTCTGCTGTAGTCTTGCAAGCCTACAGCAGCACTTCTACTCTGGCCCGTAGGGTCGTAAGAGTCAGATTCAACTGGATGGCCAGCTTTGGGCATCTGGAGACAGTGGTGGTGGATCAGCTCTACACTCAAGTTCACGATCGTCACCATGCTCATTCATGCTAGGATACCCAGGGTTCCAAGGGTTCTTAAAGTGGCTCCTGGGCTTTCCGAGTTCCTCCTCTGGGTTTTGCCAGCCCCATCGCTGTGATGTAACGGCACTTCTGTCTTCTTTGGCTAAGAATGCCCATAGGTGGCAGATGCTGTCAACAGAAGTTGCTCATCTCATGGCAAAGTGGTGATATTTGGACCCTCTAGGGCCCAGCTGAGAGTCCCCCCATCCTCCAGCACTCAGCTCATCTAGCGACCGGAGACATGTCTGACTCTGCCCCCCAGCATTTTCTGAGTGTTGAGACTGGGTTATTTCAATCCACTGCACTTACTATCCTTTATTGATACTCAAGTGGTCCCCTGTGCAGTCTTAGTGGTCTTCGAAAGGGTAAGTGGGAAGTAGAAGAGATGTGAGACTCTTAGGGGTGCTACAACCAAGAGCCTGGGGTGTTTCACCATCCTTGTCCTCCGCTTCTGTACCTGCACCCTGAAGAACAATGCCATGCGGTGTCCTGGCCCCTCACGCCTTTGAGAATCAGGCGGCTTCTGCCCTTCAGATCTGGATCCTGACTGGCACCTGTGGACTGGGATGTGATTACAGGGGTGGCTGGCCAAACCACTACGGGCTCCCACGTTTTCAGTAAAAAAGAGCTACCACTTTGGCATTAACTTGTGATGGAAAGAACACTAAATTGCGACATCCCTGAGAATCAACAGAACCGTTCAATTTTTAAGAGGAAGTGGGGATGCAGTGTCAGGGTAGCTCGGTGAGGGAATGTGGGGTCCAGGGAGGTCCAGAGATGCTCAGCAACTCACTCCAAATGTTCTTGCGCACGGGCTCCCCGACCCCACCAGCAGCCAGCCAATCGGGCTTCAAGCAGGGAGGGATGCGTGCGGTCCTGGCCCCTTCTCATCCCTGGATGTGGGCAGACAGCGGCTTCACGGAAGCCCTGCTGGCCTGCCTCCCAGGGGTCCCTGGCTTCGCTCAGAATAGTGACAAGGGTCTGTGGTGGTGGGAGCCTAGGCAACTGGAAAGGCCTCAAATTCCATTTCTGGAACCTGGGTCGGCGCCCTCGCCGGCTCCTCCTGGCAAAGTGGGTGCTTTGGACCTCCCAGGACTTCCAGCTACTCCCCTGGGAGTCTGGGTTCCAACACCTCCTGTGGACCCACTGCAAAAGCGACACTGAAGTCTCTCAGCAGGCCCAGTGCAAAAAGCCGCAAGCTGCCCAGGCATGGGGCTTCATGCACAGGTCATGGCCCAATGCCAGGGGGTCCTTGCTCATCAGTAAAAGGTAGCGATGGGAGCAGCGGGCTGGGCAGGCACCGCCCATACCTGCCAAGTCCCCAGCTGCAGGCATCAGCACGAGGGATGGGCATGCTGGTCTGAGCCACTCGGAGTCCCTCCAGAGTGTACCACAGGGAGGGACCCTCTGGCAGGCCTCTCCCAGGAGTTCCCCCTCCTTCCCTGTGTTCTCGGGGCCCAAGTTACCCTCCATGTCACTTGGGCTGTGTTCATGTATGCTCCAGGCGGGGCCCTATCGAGGGGACCCTCATGGCTAGGGAGAGGGTTCACGGATGCTATGCTCCTCCATTCCAGTCACCTGTACCACCAGGCTCAGGTGTGTGTGGGGGGGGGTGTCAGGTGCTGACTGCCCTGCAACTCCTCACACCTGTGACACTCAGACGTGTTTCATTCAGCTTAGACTTAACCCACCTTTATGTCTAAAAACCCCCAATGTCTTTATCTTCAAAGCCCTATCTAAAAAAACATAAATAGCTCTCATATGCAGTCTCTCCATGAACAGGCTCCCACGGGCTTCTGAGAAGGTGCTGCTCCAACAGCAGCCTTTCATGTTCACGCAAAGCTCATCCTCTGGGTCCAGGTGCTGCCAGGGGCCCGGAGGGGCCACCCCCCCCATCCCAGCAGTTTGTGTGCTGGCTCCTTGGGAGGAGAGCTGGTTCTCTCATCCCCAGGGGGTCTCCAAGGGGCACGGCAGCCCACACCGTTGGGTCTGGGGGCCTGGTGCTGCGGGCCCAGAGCCCCTACAGCATCTCCTCTTCTTCCTCCCTGGTCCCCGCAAGCAGGTGCAGGCTGTCGTCATCGTCCTCGGAGGCGGTGGCTCCCTCCTCGCCGCCCTGTGCCTCCAGGGCTCGCTTCACGCCCCTCTGCTTGGACACGGCCAAGGCGTAGCGCAGGTTGTAGCGGTTCCAGTCACAGCTGCCAAAGACACCACAGTGCTTACTCTTGCGGGAGCCAGAGACCGCCCTGTGCCCACCACACCTCCACGGACCCTGCACACGCTAGCCCCCAAAGTGTGCAGCCGTCAGGGAGAGGCACAGCAGCCCTCACACCCTGTGTAGAGAACTGGGCACCCGCGCTGCCCCTCCAGGGCTCAGGCAGAAGAACACAGCTACAGCCTCAGCCCACTTCCATGGGGCCGGCCCAGGAGCGAGGACAGCCAGCAGGACGCTGGGGGCTGTGGGGGCCATGCAGAACAGGATGAGTGAGAGGCAGACGGCCCCTGCAGCACCGGGAACACTGCCCTGCACGCCCTGGGACACAGGGAGCAGGCACTGGGCTGAACCCCTGCGCCACGCCCCCCACACCCTCCTCTGGAAGCAAGCTCAGAGGGAGAGCAGGTGGAGCTGGGACACGGTGCCAAGCTCCCAGGTTCTGCAGGGTCCAAGCACATGGTGGCCACACCAGAGCTGCCCTGTGCCAGCAGCAGATGCTCCAAGCGGGTGGTGCTTTTCCCAACCGGGCCCAGCTGCAGCTGGTCCAGCCGAGTCCACTCAGGGGAACTATTCTCCCTAGGGACAGGCAGCAGTGAGGTCGCCCCGCCCCAGGGCCCTGCACACACACGTACAGCTTGGAGAGGTCACTGAGGTGCCGCTGGATGCTCTTCTGCAAGAACTGGACAGCCGGCAACAGCGTCCCCGCCCTGCAAGGATGACAACACAGCGCCTGACACCTGCTGCCCGCCGAGCAGGGATCCAGCCCGGCTCTGCTCCTCCTGCGGCACAGGCGGGCTCTCACCGGGACTTCAGCTTCTGACCGTGCTGCATGAGCAAGTGCTGTGTCCACAGCAGGTAGAACTCGATGTGGCGAGACACTTCGAAGGAGGTGGCAAGAAACTCCAGGACCTTCTCCACATATGCCTCCGGAAGAGAGGAGCTGACAACTTCCACTGGAGGGGAGAGAAGGCCTGCTTATTCTGCAAACGGCCCAAGCTCCAGGAGAAGACCTGGAGTAGCCGCCCGCCTTTGCCTGCACTCACCCTCGCCCGAGGGCACCGCCTCCAGCGCCTCCTGCACCAGGGCCCGCTCGTTGAGCCGGAAGGCCATCAGGATGGCCCTGGTGAAGTCCTTCTGGCGCAGGGCCGCGCGGATCCGGCTGGGCGTGACGCTGGTGTCCAGCTCGAAGGGGTCGAAGACCATGCGGGCATCCAGGGAGTAGATGAGCAGCCCCTCGGTGGTGGTGGCCGCCCAGCAGCGCCCTGGGGACAGGCAGGCAACCGGCTCTCAATATTCCTTTTCACCATTTACTCACTTTAAGAGAAAGGCACTGAATACCAGAGCAAGCTCCCCAATGCAATAGGCGCAACAGAAAGTGCGGGCCCAGTGTCCCCCCACTTAGTTCCTCACTGCAAGAGTGTGGCTGGACTTGTAGCTTGCACAGGTCTGTGTAGCCTCCCCGCTAGACAGGAATCACATGGGGCTCTGTGGCAAGGCAGGACTCGATAAGGGAGTGGAGGGGCACAGCTGTCAGAGGGCAGGTGGTGGGTGGCTCAGCCCCTGGACACCTGGCCTGACAGTCACGATGGGAGTCCGCAGGGGCAGATCACACTGCGAGCTGGGAACCCAAGTCCTTCCCGAGCTGTCTCAGAGTGCTGACTGCCCAGACACATGGCATGGATGACGAGGAGGGTTGGGCCCGGCAGGGGGAGACTTCCAAAGAGCCAGAAGGCAGACGCTGGGCAAGGCCTCACGGGCAGCCCGGCCCGGGCACAGCATCAGCACAGCACCTCTCAGGAGCTCGGACGTGTGCAGATACTGCCACGGCCCGTCCCTCCCCTCCTACTACGGGGGCTCACCTGTGGGGGAGAAGCGGAGTGAGGTCACTCGGATCTCCGGTTTAAAGTGCCGAGAGCTCATGTCACCTGGGGAAGAACCAAGGACAGGGTGGGCACCACAGTCCACAGCCCGCACCCAAGGGGGCCACGCGGAAAGACGTCTACCCCGGCACCACCACAGGCAGGGTGCCGCCCGAGTGTAGGGCCAGGGCTTCAGGCCTGTCACGCTGCTCCTGCTGTGGGAGACATTCAAACCCCACAGGAGGTAAGCAGAAACGCTGCCCCAGGGGCCATGTCACTAATGTGCATGTGTGTCTCGTCTCAGGGACTCTGCCTGGCCTGACATCCTGGCCAATGTCCATGCACCACAGGCCCCGTAGCACACCTCCTGCTCTCCACCCATGCGATGCCCCAGCACTGTTCAGGTCCCCGGGGAGCTTCTCAGGCCCAAGGAGGGGGTGACAGCGCCTCAACTCCGTAAACCTGAAGTATTCACCACGAGCTGGACCCTGGTGACCCAGGAGAGGCCAGTCCCCTGCGGCCCACCCCCACCAGGGAGAATCCCGCTCACCTTTCTTTACACCTGGCAAGGGGATGGCAACCCCATCCTCCTCCCCAGCATCCTGATCAATCAGTGCCAGGTTACCAAACTCCGTCATCTTCCTCCGGTTCAAGAACTCCTGCAAGAGCCAAAGTCACACACACCTCGCCTCTGCCGTGTGGGGTCAGGGACCCTGCAGCCTCACTCCACCACCCGCCCCTCCACGTGCCCTCAACACGAACCACACTCCTTTAAGGGCGTCCCAGGCCACCTTCCCTCGGGCCCTGGCCTGGAGCAGTGATCTGGCCCGTCCACATGACAGACCCCAGCTACCCCTGGCTCGGGCACAGCCGCCGGCCACGGGGTGCACTCTGCTCTGTGGCCCTGCTGACGCACCTCCATGGCGTCCAGAGAGAGGTTGCAGGAGATCTCAAACTTCTTCACGAGGATCTGCTCTCGGACGTGATAGATGCAGACGAACTTGGACAGGCCTCCTGCCAGGATGCTCTGGCCGTCCGCGGAGTAGCACAGGGTGGTGAAGGACCTGCAAGGCCGCAGGTGGGTCACCGCCCAGCCATGCCGACAGGTGCTCCAGCACACGCGCACACACAGCCCCAACCAGACTCTGCACGCTCACTGCACGCTTCTCCCCGGACAAGTAGTTCAGCCGCCAGCACCGGCACCGTCCACAGGAGCTGTGCTGCACGGGATGTGCTTGGCCGAGGCAGTGGTTTTCCCAGGAAAGGCCCAGTGCCCCACCAAGGTCAGATGGAAGGTGCAGGCTGGCCTCCAGCGCTCAGAGCGGTCCCCTTGGTGGCATGCACTTGGTAGGGCAGAAACCAGAATCTGGGCGCTCACCGCCCCACACAGGACGGACACAGAGCCAGGGCACCAAACCCACTGCCATCGAGTGGATGCCGACTCCCAGGGGCCCCACGGGACTGGGCAGGACTGCCTGTGGAGTTTCCGAGACTGTAACGCTTTACAGGAGTAGAAAACCTACTTTCCTTCTGAGGAGCGGCTGGGGGTTTCAAACTGCTGACCTTGCAGTCTGTAGCCCAGCACACAACCACCAGCAGCTAGAGAGGAGAGAAGAAGTAGGCTTGATCTGACCAATCTAACAATGCTTCTTCTTCGGTGGGACACCCTTGGGGCAGTGAGAACACGGGCAGGAGTGAGGCGCAGACACGTGTGCACATGTGCAGGACGTATGTCTGACCAGGGATGGGGAGCCAGCAGACAGACCTCGGCAAGCCAGAATGAACCCGCCTTGCCTGGATGAAGACCCTTCCTAGTAGAGATGGGACTGGCTCATAACTTACCAAAACCACCCCCAGCTCCCGCCTCACCACCCCCTCCAGGACGGCCACAATACGGCAGGCAGACAGCAGCAAGTGCTGGCCTGGCTGTGGAGACACCACACTGGGGGGATGTGAACCATCGCAGCCCTGGAAACAACGGGGGCGGTGCCTTACACAGCTAACACCGAGAATTACCACATGACCCAGCAACGCCACTCCTCAGAACCTGCTGACAACACCCCCCCACCCCACCCCCACCCAGGACTGAATGCAAGGACATAAACCCCCGACGGAGCTCAGAGCCGACTGGAGACAAGAGAAGCAGCACAGATGAAGGGGTCTGGGAGGTGCCAAAGCTCCCAGACTTTCCTGAACCCGCGTGGCGGGCTGGGACCTGGGTGCCCAGTATCACACCAGCCCGCATGGGCAGCCAACCTCAGCTGGAAAAACCGTGGTGACAGAAATCACAGAACCCAAGTCTGGAGAAGCTTCCTCTGCGCTTTGGCTCAAGCATGCCCAGGACCCAGTGAACACAGTGCTCTAGTGGCATGCTGCCCCGCCCGTCACTGAGCATGCGAGGGGCGTGGCAGCACCCGCATCCTGCCCCGAGTCAGAGGGATGAAGTGGCTGTCACACAGAGCATGCTGGCCCGGAGTAGGCCAAATGATGCCCCAGCTCAGCAGGGTGTGGGTGCTGCGTTCCAGGCTGACAGCCCTGGGGCTGTCCCTGGATTTTCAGAGGACAAAGGCATTTCATCAAAGGAGCTCAGCTGACACTGACAGACAGGGCTGTACAGATCGCCTGTGACGGACTGTCTAGAGCGCTACTTGAGATTGCAAAATGTGGACCCTTGGCCAGGGGATTGGTCAGTTCTGCCATCCTGCTAGGTTCAAAATGAACCGTCTCGGAAGCTACAAGAGGGGATCCATCACCAGGAATGAAGAGCCAGGAGTGGCACACATCCTCTGGACCCTGAGAACCCTGCACGCTGAACCTCCTGGATCTGAGGACAGGGAGCCGTGACCCAGAGGGTGACAGGGAGAAGCAGCAGCGGCAACACCAAAGAGCCAAGAGCCAGTGCACCAGCCGGAGCAGTGAGCTCCCCAGCCCACGGAGCGAGTAAAGCAAGCGTCTTCGGGTGGGAGGCTTGCTTGAAGAGCAGCTCTGCTGAGCCCGAGCTTACTTCCTGCAGGCGGGACTTTGGGGTACTCAGCAGCAGTGCAAAAAGCGCTTGTAATGCTGCCTGAGCAATAATGCTGCCTGAGCAGGCCAGAGGACAAGGGGCCATGTGGCCGAGAGGCCCGGGACCAAACAGAGGGTCCTGTGGGCACAGCTGAGAAGGGAGAAACCAAAACCGGCCTGAGCACATGTGATTCTGAACTGTAACCTCTGACTTCCAGGAGCAAAGTGCTCCTCCCTGGGAAGAAGCACCTCACCCAGGTGCTGGGGCAGGGGCGGCCGGCCAGAACTGACACAGGAAGCAAGCAGGTGGGGGCACGTCTGAGCCCTGCCGCTCAGGCATGTGTCTGGGCTGACCTGGAGCTGGATTCTCCTTCTCCTGATGACCCCAGAGGTCAGACTCTGCTAGACATCGTTTTTTCCCTGTTTGGTAAGAACTTGCACGACTAGTTTTGCTCAAAAGCCTTTGTAAGTTCAAACCCTCTCGTGCTGGGTTTCCGTGCCTCAAATTTACCTCGGAGTGGCTCGGCCCCTCGTTTGGGCCCTTACCCCAGGCCCCATCTCAGGAACGAGTGAGGCCAGAAAGGACAGGCGTTCTGAGAGTCTGCCGCTGGGGTCTCAGGCCTGAGGGGTCCTGGGAGAAACCCCACCTTGGCAACACTCACTTGCCCTTAGCCGAGTGCTTGGCAGTGATCTTGTCCAGCTCCTTCCTGCCCGATCGGAGGTCGTGCCGGCCTTCGACGGAGCCCGTCTGCACCGCGCTCTCGGGGTCCCAGAAGACGATCTGCGAGTTCAGTGTGGCCACAGCCAGCTCCGCGCCATCAGGGCGGAAAGCCACGGCCAGTGCTAGAGAGAGATGGAGCTCAGGAGCTGAGCTCAGGGCCCAGCGTGGGGCCTGCCAAGCCTGCACCCAGGGCCAGGTTAAGGAACACTGGTTTGACCTGCCCACAAGCTCCGACTCCTAGTTGGCGGTCACCACCCACATCCCCACCCAACACCCCTAACCTTTGGTCTCAGGACCAGCGCACAGCACTCACCGTCAGAGCTCAGAGTCAGGGTCTCCTTGGTCCGCCAGCTGTCAAACATGTCCCACAGGCGGACCGTCTTGTCCCAGGAGGCGCTGGCCAGCACGGACTTGGCTGGGTTGAAGCTCAGACCGCTGATGGGCCCCTCGTGGCCCGACAGAACCTGCGGAGACCAGGCCAGGGCACTCAGGGGAGCTGCCCAGCATCCCTGGGCTGCCCCAGAGCACTGCCACTTGCACACAGCACTAGCCGGGGATGCCTGGCCTCTGGGTGCGGGCGAGCTGAGCTGTTCTGGTGAGAGGGCTCAGTGGGCACCTGTCTGTCCCGGGCAGTGCCCCCACTCACGTCCAGGAGCCTGCCGGTCTGCATGGACCAGATGAAGACCTCGAAGGAGTCCTGGGCGCCGGCGGCCACGATCTCCCCGCTGGAGTCCACAGCCACGCAGGAGAACTGCGTGGGGCGAGGGGACGTGAAGGTGCGGAAGTTGCGGTACCTGCGGGGAGAGGGACGGCAGGTTCAGCTCACGGCAGGCATCACGGACGGCCCTCAAACGCACGGCCTGCACAGAGGGTGGGGGAGGGAGGGCACCTGTGCTGCCCCACGCCCCAGGAGGTGGCTTGACACACGCCGCCTCTGGAGTGAAGCTGTCACCTGTGAAGGTCGAAGGCGCGCACAGTCCCATCCATGGACGAGGTGACAATGACGTAGCCGGTGGCTGTGAAGGTCACGTCAGTGACCCCGCTCGAGTGCTCCGTGAAGGTGATGAAGCAGAAGCCACTGAGCGTGTTCCACACCTTCACCTGGGGCGGGGGGAGGGGAGGGGGAGGCACAAGGGGTGTGTGAAGCCCCCAGGTCCCACTCTGTGCTGCTGGGTCCCGGGCCCCCAGCCAGGCCCTCCTCACACTGACTGACCGTGAGTCATGGCCCAGGCCCCGGCCCCAACAGACTCTCCCCATGCTGACCGGGCCCACCACGGGCCGCATACGTCATGGGGTCGTGAGGGTTACCTTGCCGTCGTCCCCGCCGGTGGCAACATACTGCCCATCGGGAGAGTAGGCCAGCGTCACCATGCTGTTGAAGTGGCCCTGCTGCTTGAGCACGTAAGACTCACTCTGCCACTCCCACACCAGCAGCTGGCCCAGGCCTGCGGGCACACGGGGCATGGGCACAGGTTGATGGCAACCTTCCCAACGGTGTTGACCCAGCAAGCTCCCACCCAAAGCAATGCCTGAAGGGGGTGGGGAAAGGGCTGGGGAAGTCAGCGAGGGGCGTTGCCTGTGGACAGGACTGCACGTCTGGGGCAGGGCATGGCCAGTTGCCTAGTCAGTAGGGGCCATGGTGCTTGCAGAGCTGCTGCCCCAGGTCCAGCCAGCCACACAGGACCCTGCGGCAGAGGCACCCACACCTGGCCACCGGCAGACCTGCTGGGGGCAAGGCCAAGCCCAAGACCAGAGCTCATGAGAGATTTCGGGGTGCTTCAAGACCTCACTTCCCATGGCAGCCATGGACTGGCCCACTCAGGGAACATCAAACACGTGAGACTGAGTGGAAGCAGCCCACACCCACCCTACAGGTCACCACTCCCCCCATGGCCCTCCACTCCCAGCCACGGAGCAGGACCCACAGAGCTCCAACCTCAGCCTGGAGGGCCCAGGGGTGCGCTATGGGCATGGCGGGGGGGCCGGTGTCCTGACCCCCAACAAACCTGAGCATCCGAAGGCGACCCAGTCCCCAGAGCTGTTGATGGCAACAGATGAGACCCTCTGGTCGGAAATGCTGGGGAAGGGGTGGGGTGGAGACAGGGTGAGCCTGGAAGTGTCCACAGTCTGACACCTGGAGCCAGTGCAACCCCGCGCACACACGTTAGACTAAGACACCGTCAGACTAGCAGACCCAGGGCACAGCCTTGCTCTGAGCCCCGGGAGTGCGCGACTCCACAAGGCCCGAGCGCCAAGTCCTTGACCCCAAGATGAACAGAAGAAACATAAAGCACCACACTCATTGGGGCCGAAGTGCAGTGAGCGTGCGAGGGAGGCGGCCTCAAGGCTCGGCCCGTGCCGCCTCCACCAGAGCTAGCTGAGCCCCGAGCCACCCTGGCTCTACCGGCCCCTTGGCCACAGGCAGCACTGCACCCACCTCACAGGGCTTTGCGGGCTTTTCCTGGGGGCACAGCCACCCGACCACAGCGGTTCCGGAGCAGCTCACCTCAGGGAGTGGATGAGGTTAAACTCGGGGAGTTCGTGCAGATGGAAGGTTCCCGAGGCAAAGCCAGTGACCAAGAGGTGGGTCTTCTTGTGATAGGCTGCGGCCGTGAGGTTGTTAAAATCCCCTTCTTTGTTGAGAAAGTACCTGGGTGAAGGCAATGAGGAAGAGTGGCCCAGGGGCCAGCAGGTGGCTCGCCTGCCCGCCCCGTCCCCAGGTTGTCAGGACCCGGACAGAAACTGTCTGTCACTGCCCTGGTGTCTCCTCCCCTCTGAATGACCTGCTCACCTCACTGGTCAAGTCCCTTAGGTCCGCTCTGCCCGGCCCCAGGGGAGTCCCTAGCTGGTACCCAGGTACCCCTCGACAGAGTGTCAGTGCAGGGCAGGCTCCCACGACAGATGCAACAGGTGTGGCAAGCCAGGAACAGGCAGCCAGGACAGGAGCTCGTCCCAACCACCTAACTTCACCCTCCTGCCTGTCCTCGGCTCGGAAGCCCCAGACCGCCAACCACAGGCAGGGGCCACGTCCCGCCCTCCCCGCCACCCTGACTGCCCTGCACGAGACAGCTGCTGTGGCTGTGCGCTGTCAGAGCTGTGCCCTGTCTACAGGGGACGACGTTGTAGGCAGGTCCTCTTGTCCCACATCCGCCCCGTCGGGGCACCGGAGGGACGGACGCACTTGGCCAGCCGTGTGTACTTCACTTTTCCTTTCCGCTCTTCTTCTGACGGGGTGGCCGTCCCTTGCACTGTGGTCTCTTTCTCCCCATCCTCCTCCTCCTCCTCATCCCGCTGCAGCAGGTCTGCCCTCCAGCCTCGGGGGGCCATCAGCCGCAGGCCCTCCGGGGGCGTGTCACACTGCCACATGCACAGGGCTCCGTCCTGGCTCAGTGTGTACAGCTGCCAGGGGAGGCACGGGTGAGTTCCCGGCCCAGGTCTGCGACCCAGCGCCGGTCCTGCCACACACCCCCCTCCCTGCAGCATTCCCGAGGCCACATGGGGGCCACCACCTCCTCCCAGGTCTTCCAGAGCCCGGCTTCACCCCAGAGGGAAGTGCTGGAACCACAAGGACCTACGTCCAGGCTGGAGGACTCGAAGAAGCAGGCCACGATGGCGTCCTTGTGTCCCCCCAGCGCGTAGTAGATGAGGTTGTCCCAGCGCTCGGCCCCGAACACCCAGGTGGACATGTCCTTGCTCCCGACTGCAAAGCACCTGGAAATGAGGGGGCAGCAGCGCAGCCTCAGCAGGCTCTCGGCGGCATGTGGTAGGCAAGGCTACCTGAGGCAGCGGCTCAGAAACGGCTCCGCGGCCGTCACAGGTGAGAGATCCACCTGCCCGGTGTGATTCCTAGGTGGCAGGTACTACAGTGCACAGAGGCCGGTTCAACGGGACCGGGTCCTGGGCCTCACGCTAGGTGGCAACGCACACACAGTGATCAGTGGGCTGAGGGCCACACGCCAGGCCGGTCCAGGGCTATGGGAAGAACCTGGTCCCAGCCAATCAGTGCAGACTGATTTTCACCTGGAGAAGGCCAATGCTGGGAACTCAGGGCCTCTCGATGCCCAAGGTAAGAGGCTGTAACTCACCGGGGTGAAGAGGCCTGGAGGGGTGGCCAAGTGGCTAGCCAGCAGTGCTGCCTAGCACAGGGTGAACACAGGGAGCCACTGTGTGCTCTGGACTGGAAACAAGGGGCTCCAGCCTCACACGGGGCCAGGACCCAGCAGGGTGCCAAGGCCTCCGCTGGATGCTGAGCAAGAGCATTGAGCCGTGGTTGCCTACAGCCCTGAGTACAACACAGAGCCAGCTCCTCGCCCAGAGAACACGTGCAGCTGCCCAGGGGCTCCACCCACACAAGTGAGCTTTTGGGGGACAATTCACCCTTCTCCCTGCTGATACAAACAGGTCAGGGAGTGCCCGGCAGACTCTGACACTGTAACGTATGGGAATCTCTCCCCCAGATGGAGACTGCTCTCATTTCCATGACGACTGTCTGGGGACCGGGCAGAGCCCAGGGCCAACAGCCACCCTCCTCCACCTTCCCCATGGCATGGGCTGCATGCAGGCCGGATGAGCCTCACAAGGTAACATGCCACACTGACACTTCTGGGTACCACGTCCAGCCCTGGCTCTCGCCGCGGCCCCCACCAGCCCCACCTGGAGTCGTCTGTCCAGTCAATGCACGTGGTCTCGTCATAAGGCCCGAAGTACGTCTTGTCCAGGACAAACGCGTTGAATTCCCGCTTCTTCCCAGGGGCGTGGTACATCTGGGCAAGGTTGCCCTTAGTGACGACGAACTTCCTGAAAGGACGGGCAGACACACTCAGGACTCAGGAGCCCCGCAGCCGGAGACCCTGGGACATCGCTGAGCCGGACAGCTCTCTGCTGCCCTGGGGCTGACCCCTGGGGCCCTCAAACCGAGCCACCTCCCCTGCCAATCGGAGGTGAGATGGAGGCCAGGGCACCAGCAGAAAAGGACAGAGCAGCCAGGCGGCCCTGTCGGACATCTCACAGTTGGTTGCTGAGGACCTCCCAAGAGAAGGGCTCTGCCTCCCCAAAAGCTGACCCCCCCCCCTTCCCTGTGGTCACCCTGCTCTGCATGCCTCTGCGTAATACACTGCAGCCCCGCGGGGGGCGGGGGGCAGTGTTCCCCAAGTCTACGAGTCAACCACATCCACACGAACCACCCAAAAGCGGCAGTGCCCGGCCACTGAGGCCACGGACTCCAGCCTCGCCTCTGGGGCAGGGACACTCCAAAGCCTGGGGTGGGGGCATGGCCTGGGAGGGAGGGAAGAAGGGAGGGAGGACCAGACAGCACCCAAGGGCAGCCAACGGGCCGGCTGAGCCCCTCACCTGCCATCCGGGGAGAAGGACACGCTGTGCACGGAGCCTTTGAAGTGGAAGTGGTGGAGCGCAGTTCTGCAGACCAGGCTGACCAGCAGGGCGTTGCCGCCTGCAGGAGGGGGCATGGCAGTCATGCTGCTGCAGGCTCACAGAGCCCGCCCCCACCACATACAGACGGCAGAATCGAGAACTCGGCCTGCACGGGGCACCCCAGCTCTTCCCCCACGTCTTTCAGGAGCCCCATGCCAGGCTAGGGTCCACAAAGGGCTCTCCTGCCTAGGGGCAGGAACCCTACAGCACCTAGGGGCCAAGGTCTGCACCTGTGGGGCCTACATCACCCACACGGACCCTGTCAGACGAGCATGAGGCTCAGAGGGTGGGACCGCTGAAGGGCACAAAGGCGGAGCAGGTAAAGCCAGGCCAGGCAATGCCACAGGGGGCCACTCTGTGCCCCTGGCTCTTCTTTCTACAGAGCTGTGGGGCCCACAGATGTCCTCAGCCCTCCACACAGGGACACTGGGCCCAGCCGATAGAGACACCTTCCACTGTCACCACACAGGGACATGGGTCCCCTGACAGAGAAGTTCTCGGCCCCCGTCTTCACCAGGACTCAGAGCCCACAGTAAAAGATGCCCTCGCCCCTTGTGTAAGCACTACCAGGGCTCTACGATGCCCCAGTGAGGGTGGGGAGCTGCTCCTGGTGCCCCTTGTGCTGCTATCTGCCTCCCCCGCATGCCACGCTCCAGCCGGAGCCTTTACCTTCATCCACGAGGATGGCCAGGCGGCCGTCTGGAGAAAGCCCCACACAGCTGATGTTATAGCGTGTGGCCAGGGGCAGGGTGTCTGACTTATTGCTGGAAAGCAAGCCACAAGGAGGTGAATGGAGCCCCTGCCCACACCACAGCCCTTCCCATGCCCCCAGACCAGGCTCTCCGTGTCCACTGAAACAAAGGGCAAGGGAAGCTGCAAAACACCACAAAGCCCTTTCACGTGGCGCCTGCACCCAGATCACCTCCAGGACTGGGTCTCAAAGGACTCCGCGTCCGGCTAATGTCAGGGACCTGGGGGCAGGCCCCAAGCCCAAGGCCCAACTACGACGACACACGGACAGGAGGAAGTGTACCAATGTGGGCACAGAAACGATGCCATACAGTCTATCACCAATATCAGAACTCGATTCTGATTTTGTACTCGGATCATCTCATTTTCCAAATTTTACTTTGCGACTCCTATGCTGGGCATTAGACATGGTAAGCGTAGCAGCCCCCGGCCCCGGAGCGCTCCTTGCTCACACGCGTTAGGAAGCGGCCCCCCCAGGTAAGGACTGCCACAGCCTCACTTTACAGAAAGGGCATCGAGGCCCCCAGCCACAGCTGGAACACCACCGAGGGCGGCCTCTGGGCAGCCCAGGCCTCCTGGCACACGGGCAGAAGTAGCAGGCGGGAGCCCTCCCCTGGGGAAGAAAGGAACGTGGCAGCACACTCCAAGGAAGCCAAGCCAGGCCTCCACAAACGAAAGCTGAGTCCGGCTGCACCTCCCTGGGTCACCTGCCTCGCTCGAAGGGAGGGGGCCCAGTGACAAGACTGCCAGCAGGTCAACAGCCCAGGCGCTCTCCAACAGGGCGAAGGCTCGACTTCACTGTGCTGCCAACGTGACACGCACAGGGGGCCTACTAGCGAGGAAGAGCCCAGTTGGAGCACACACCCTGATATGACCCCTTCCTTCTGCAGCCCCAACTCTGGGCGGCATGCCCGACCCTCCTCCAGTGATGTCAAGTGTGAGCCCCAACTCAATGACACCCAACAAGGGCAGTGTCTACGACCTAGGTACCCACTGCAATCCCCCTGCGACCCAATGGCACGATGTGCCTCCCAACCCCCTTCCCAGGGCCGCCCTTCAACTCCGGAAAGCCGGTGCCCAACAGTTAACACTAGGTTTACGGGCATTTCTCACAGAACCATCTCTATGGACATGCGTCAAGCTGACAGGTGAACAACACCACATGATTAGTTACTACTGATTTATCAATGAAGCCACGTGGTATTACATATAAGCTTACAGTATGTAACACTGTACCGCGTTTCAGATATTGAGTTCAACATACCTTCGGGGTCGCTCAATATGACGACCTTCACTGCTGTTCACCTTTAACATCTGATGCTTACTTTCTCAGGACCTTTTGACTCGGTTTATATTTGTCAATGAAGTAATGCTTTCATAAATGAAGCCGATTTACTGGGATCGATACTCAATGTATGCTCGTGTCAAACAAACACGTCTCCATAGAGATAGGTAAACCACACAGAGAATTTCAAGATCAGAAGGTTTCGAGGAAGATGAATTTGGAAATACATCTGTCTCGTTACATGGACACACAGTAGGAGGTATACGTAAATAGTTTCTGTAATTTTTGCTGAGGAAATCAAACAGGGTCAAAATGGCAAGCTCCGTCCAGCTGGTGCTGACGAGCAGGCACCTTGTACAAAGCAAGGGGACGCAGGCAGCCGTGAGACATCTTCCCCCGGCTTGCCTGGAAACTCTAATCAGCAATAGTGCTTCGACTATCATTTCTCGTACTTACTTTTTAAGGTCAAACACAGTGACTCTGTTTCCCACAGGGCTGATGACTGAATTTCCATCGCACGTGAAATTTAAGTTTCCTCGGCGATATACGGTACCCAGCAAATTTGAGAACTAGGAAACAAAGTGAAGAAAGCGGTTCTTACACATAGAAGAGACCAGGCATCTGTTCACAGGAAAAGGTAAAAAAGGGTGTTTGGTGGAAGAGCGCCTACGGGGCACCAGGCTCTGTCAACTATTCTCATGGCCCCTCAGCCACCCCAATGATCTCCTCAGTACCCAGATGGCCGGAACCCCAATCAAAGGGGAAGGGAACAGCCCAGAACCTGACTGAGAAGGGCAGACAGAGGCGTGAGCATCAGGGAGCCTTCAATGATGTAGCAGCACTGTACTGGGGTGTGGGCACAGGGCCCACATGACATGTCAGTGGGAGAAAAGTTGCAACAGAAAAGCAGCAAGCACTCGGAGTGCATCCTGAGTTCAAGGCACCCAAATTCTGAGTGTGCCACACCCACTCATTCCTGCATCCATCAAACATGAGACTCGGTCCCTACAGAGGGTACAAGGTGCCACAGAGACCGCAGGCCCACCCAGCAGAATGTGCACCAGCGGCCCTTGGCTGGCACCCAGAGAAGGCCCCAGAAGAGGGCCAGCAGAGCAAGAGCTCAGGTGACAGCTACGCGCTGCTCCAGGCTCTGCAGCTCTAGCCCAGGTGGGAGGACTTCAGGGTGTGATGTGACCAGGCTCATATTCTTGGGGGCCATTCTAAGGATGGAAGGGACCAAGAGGGAAGCCGGGAGGGTGGGCAAGAAGCTCTTATATTATCCTAGGGGAAAGAGATGAAACGTCTCAAGAGGCTGAGTGATGTGGGAAAGAGACGATAAGATGGAACCCCATCTAGAGAGGTGCTAGATGAGGGGTCACCCTCCCCACCTGCCCACGAACTGGGACAGAGGGCCAGTTGATGAACATCATCTGGGGCTGGGCACCAAAGCCCAAGTCTGGCAGCAGGGCTGAAGGCCAGCCCTGGGGGTCTGTCTCCACGACATCCCAGAGGCAAAGCTCAACGTGAGGCCAGAGGAGGCAGGAGCCAGCGCAAACCTGGGCCACTACCTGAGTGATGGGGGCCAAGGGTGGAGAAGTCAATGGAGAAGGCAGAGATGCGGGCCTGAAGGGTGGGCTCCGTTACCCCTCTCCTCTTCCCTTGCTTGGCTTGCCTGTCTGCACTCCTTCTCGCTCCTCTGGGGTTCCCATGCTCAAATCCACAGTCGGGTCGAGCTTGTCCTTAGTCTACGTGCCGCCCCGCGATGACCCGACCGAACAAGCAGGCGGACGCCACCAGGTCGCGGCGCTTGCGCTTCGCCTCCGGCGGCCGCTCCCGGCCGGCCTCCCTCCCTCCCGCTGCAGTTCCCGCTCAGCACGGGCCGTACTGTCCGACTCCGGCACGATCCCTCCCCTCTCCCGGCAGGCGCGGCTTCCCTTAGAAAACCTAAAGATCCCCCTTCGTCACCTCGGACCACCCAAAGAAGACAGGGAGGAGCACTGGACTCCACCCCCGCCGCGCTCGGTCTGTCCCCGGCCCCACCGACCCCCCGCGCTGCACAACCCGGACCGTGCGCTTTGCTGCCGCATTTGGGGGCCGGCGGCCCGGGCGTGGGGGCCAACGCGCCGCGCGACACCCCCAAACGTCTCCGGCCGCGTCCCCAGCGCGCTTACCCGATAAGCGAACTTCATTGCTGCAGCTGCACGTGTGTTTCCCCAATCCACCCGAGCACACTTCCGGGAGGCAGTGCGGGGGCGCAGGCAGCCGCGCTACAGCGCCCTCTGTGGCCGGAGGACCGCACGCCACCGCTCCGGGCCCGAGGCGGAGCTCCGCCTCTCCAAGCTGCCGGGGGCGGGGCCAAGCCTGAGCCCGAGGCCCCGCCCACCCCAAGGTGGCTCCCACCCAAGGCTTCACTTCCACCCGTGTTCCGCCCCAGCTTGAGCCCTAGGCAAAGCCGAGCCCGGGAACCCCGCGGTCCCCGAGTGGTAAGGCAGTTTATGCGCTTCCCGACAAAGGGGTTACAGCGGAAACGTCCTGCAATCTCACGCTTAGGATTTAGTGCGTGAAGCACTGGGCTGCTAACCCCAGGACCGCAGCGGTCCAAAGCCCCAGCCTCCCAGGGAGGAAGACAAGAAGGTATGTAGGTAGATCTGCTCACTAACGAACCCGTTTCAGAAACCGACTGCTGTTCCCTTGGAGCGGTTCTACGCCGTCCTATAAATTAGGCCGTTAATAGGATCCACTCAGCGCATCCACTACAGAAAACAGGTGATCTGCTCCCCAAAAGTTGTTAGATGCCGCCAGTTTTGACTTGTAGACCTTATGACAACAGATGGGAACGCTGCTCAGTGCTGTATTAAAAATAACCCAAACTCAGAGCCATCGAGTCAATGCGGCGACGCTTGGTGACTGTACAGGACAAAGTACAACCGCCCCCTGAGAGTTGAAGAGACTGTTCCTCCCTACTGGAGTAACAAACCGTCTTTGTCCTGCAGAACAGCTGGGGCGTCCAACGACTCACCTTGCAGTTAGCAGCCCATGTCAGGGCCTTTCTCCTTTTTTACTGAGATTTTTTACCTTGCATGATGTCCTTCTCTGGGGACATAGCCCTCCTGGTTTTATGTCCAAAGTCGGTAAGACAGTCTTGCCATCCTCGGTTCGAAGGGTCATCCGCAACATAGAGGTGTGTTTCTGGCAGCCCATTACACGAGTATTCAGTAATTCAAGGGCACCTTCTGTATTCCTTGTCCAGCTTTCGTATGCCTATTAGGTGATTGAAAGCAATTTAGCTTGGGATCAGGTGCACCCTGCTCCCCAGTGACACCCACCCTTGCTTTCATGTAGGACATCGGCAGCAAACTGGCCCACAACAGTACACCATTTGCTACCTTGACTGCTGCTTCCATGTGGATCCACGTAAAATGAAGTCCTCAACATAGTCAATCTTTGCTCCATTTATCACGGTGTTCTTGGTCCAGCTGTGAGGATTTCTGTTTAATATTCATATGTAATCCATATTGAAGGCTTTAGTCTTCCATCTTCATCAGTAAGTACTTCAAGTCCTCACTCAGCAAGCCCAAGATGTGTCGTCTGCATTTCTCAGGTAGTTGATGCGCCTTCCTCCAATTCCGACTTTATTGTTTTTCCTATGTCCCCTTCTAGGCTCAGCACACAGACCAAGTGTGGGGAAAGTAGGGAAAGGAAACGGCCTTGATATACCTTCCCTGGTTTTATCCAGTGATTGCCCCGGATCCATGTTCAGGGTCTGCATGTGCACAATTAAGTCATCTTGAATTCCCATTGTTTCCCATAATTTGTCAAGATCTACACAGTTGAATGGCTTTCCATAATTAATAAAAATAAGCACCATTCTGGGGTTTTCTGCTTTTCAGTCAAGGTCATTTGCTATTACCAATCAGATCCCTTGTTCCCTGTATGTTTCTGAGCCAAGCTTGAATTTCTGGTAGATCCCTGTGACATACTGCTGTAGTACTGTACTACAGAAACTATTTTTGTCAACTATCATCAGCAAAATTTTACTTGCGTGTGATATATTGTTCTAATTTCTGTATTGTTGGATCACCTTTCTGTAAAAATGAATACAAATAGGGATTTCTTCATCAGCTGGTCCAAGTAAATGTCTTCCAAATTCATTAGCAGACTAGTGCTTCCAGTGCTGCATCCAGTTTTGGAAATATTTCGATTGGTACTGTCAACCCCTGGAACCGTGGTTTTCTGTCATACCTTCAGTATAGCTTGGACTTCCTCCTCTAATACCATTGGTTCCTGATGATATGCCACCTCTTAAGATGGGTGAATGTGGACCAATTCTCTTTGGTACGTGTCTCTGTGTATTCCCGTCATCTTCTGTGTCCCCTACATATTTCAATAGGGAGCTCTGGTGAGGTAGTGGGTACTCGCTAACCACAATGTCAGCGGTTCAAAATCACAGAAGAGAGAAGAGCCTGTCTACTACTGCAAAGATGTAAAAGTCTCGGAGACCCAAAGGAGCAGTTCTACTCTGTACTTTAGGGTCACTAGGAGTCAGAATCGACCTAATGAGAGGGGTGACATTATTCAATATTTTGTCCATGGAATCCTCCAAGGCAACTTTGAGGCTTGAATTTTTTTCTTCCCTACGCTCAACCTATGAGTTGAAATCAACTCCACCGTACCTAACGACCACAGTCCCTCGTGCTGTTAACTGAAAGGTTGGAAGGTGGAAAGTCAGGAGCAAGAGAGAATTAGAGAAAGAAAATAAGAAAGCCCTCTGATTATATCCAGATACTTCAGGAGAAACATCTGGCACTCTATTTCCAAAAGATCAGCCACTAAAACTTGTAGAGCCAAGTTCTAGTCTGACACACATCGGGTCTGCAACTAACTACAACCAACCCCAAAACCAAACCTCTTGCCTGCAAGTTGATTCCAACTCATGACGGCCCTACGATCCGGAGTGGAGCTACCCCACAGGCTTTGCAAGGCTAAAGCTCTCAGAAAGCAGAGTGCCGCCTCTCCCACCTACACCACAGCTGACTGGTTGGACCCACTAGCCAGGTGAGCAATTGCGTTCTAACCACTGCTCCCCCGGGACTCGCATCGTAATGAAAAGGGCACCTTATGAAACCAAGTGAAGAGCACGGCCCTCCCTCCCGAGCAACGACTGAAAGCGTATGCCCGTAAGCCACCGAGCGCCACCCCAAGTGGCCCAGCGCCGTCTTACGGAAGGTCAGTTGGCAAATCCAGCTCCCAAACTAATAGCTCTGAAAACTGCAATGTCTCCTCTGTTCTTGTGTGAGCTGCTGGAATCAGTTATGAAAAACAATTCTTCATGTACCCCAAAGGGTCTATCACCTCTGCCTGAAAGTCAGGAACAAGGACTGGGGGGTGAAAATAAGAAAGCCCTTTAACGTTCTACCTTCAGTTTTCAAACACCACAACAAAAGAACGAAGTTCAAACAGTAATGTTTCGTCTTAAAATGTGTATTTCCAGAAGTTTAATGCTTACAATTTAAACAGTCTTGATACAATGGTTTTCATCTAACAGTGTAATACAGAGTAATGTGAAAATGATTTTTGTTTTCCTTTAAATCATGTTATTGGGGGCTCATACAGCTCTTATCACAATCCATACACACATCCACAGTGCATTTGTTGCCCTCACCATTCTCAGAACAGTGAAAATGAGTTTCATCGTAAACCATGAAAATGGAATTAATACCTGCAGTGTCAAAGTCGCCAACTCGTCACCTTTTCCAGTCACAGAATCCCAGCACATTGTACGCATGATGCTTTTGGCTCCCAGAGCCTGGCTTATATGATAAATAAATTCAGAGAAAGGGGCATTTTTGTAAAAAATAAAAACTTTAAATCAGGTAGGATTTATTTTAAAAATCACAGTCAAAATAAAACATTTACATCAGCACGGTTTGTTCCTTTATACAAAGTAGTACCATTGTTCATTTTACATACACACCTGAAGTGCTTCTTTAATTCCACTTGGTAACTCAATCTTAGTGGGACCACTAAGTAAAAACTGCATAGAAGCCTTGTGAGCATTTTCTAACTCTTTATGGGATCTGCCACACTTATGCATGGACAGAGACCCCCACCAGAACATAGGGAACGGCCCAAACACTAGGCTAGGCTGGGCATGGGACTGTAGGTAGAACTCCTTTTCAGATTAAATACTATAATTTCCACTTTAGAAGCATAGAGTTATAATTTTTCCAATCACAGGACATCCCATGAAATTCACAAAAATCACAACTCTTGCTAGTATTTACATGTTTTCACAGCTAGTTGCAAACTGGCTGCACATTCTTTGTTTTTAAGATACACATTCAAAATCGGGCTTCACAATTACTTAACAGTAGCTACAACCTTTTCAACACAACCAGCTGGTCTCAAACACATGGAACTAATTTTAAGATGCAACTAAAATCCAATTTAGACAGACTTTTAGACATATGGTGAATTAAAAAAACAACAACAACAAAATGGTAGACCCACCACTTGTGTATCTTAGAAACTTTGATTCCAAAAGGTCTTTAGGGCAATTAGGTCCCCCTACAAAAGGGAGAGAAGCAAACCTACAATATATTTGAGTCTAATCAGTTCTTACACGATCAGAAACCAAAGCCATTTGGGTTGCTCCCCACGTTCTTCCTTCCTGAGTGTATCTGTGATGACAGAACAGAACGCAGAGAGAAGCAGCACACACTGGTGAACCACTCACCAGGTCACACACATGCCCCTGCTCTGGAAACAGAGGGAAGGGCCATGTTCTCTCAGCTCAGAGGCCGACAATGTGGGTGGGAGGCTTTTCTGACAGAGAAAAGTAATTTCAACCATTCCTTCAGGACTTGGCAGATTTGTAGAGTGATTTTCAATTTGTTACAAAAATCTTATTTTAGAAACCCTAAACTACCAATCGATGCTGAATTACTAATTTGCCTAACAAGTTGACCGAGTTTATTACTTTTAAAACACCACATCAGGAAGACAAATTTCTGAGAGGTTTACTTAAAATTATCTGCTTTACATACATACTTCTCCAATTATACAAATGAGTAAGACATGGGGAGAGAAAAGGAAAAAAAACCACATCACCGTTAATTGTGGAGCTAGATGGCTATAACACAGAGAATAAACACTGACAGCAAGTAGCCGGTCAGGTGCTTGTTTTGAGCTGTACATTCTTAACCCTCTGCCCGGTCAGTTCCAGAAGCTCCGGGCTCCTTTCAGTTGGGTTCTCTTCCGAGCGAGCCATCCACAGTGGAGTGATATGTGGGAGGCCCCACTAACTGGACTGCATTAATTTTATGAAGTTGAATTCCAACCAACTGTGCCAATGAATTATGAGAATTCTATTTCCTATGTACAAAAATACATCGCTTTGGGGCGCTGGAAAAGGCTTAAAACATACAACAGTTATTTACAAGCTGTGACTGTTCACACTAATAAAAACAAACACATTGATTCTGTCCTTGATTTTTGGTGCAAATTATACATAAACATTTTATCAGTTAGTTTGTACTTTTAAAAATAATAAATCAACCGTATATACAATTAAATTTACAACCCAAAGCAAACTGATCTGGTGGTGAGGTGTGACAGAGGTCTCCTGGACCAGTGGAAGGGAAATTCCAGGGTCTCAGTCCTCCCACCACCAGACCAGAAGGACACAGACCCTAACCTCATCATTGTGAATGAAACATGGCAATTTCTAAGACTCAAGGTGCAAAAGAAATGATTACAGTCAATGACAGGTAAAGACTACATTGAGAGGTGAGAGAAAAGCAACACAACATATTAACCCCACATACATAATGATCATTAAATAAATATATATTTAGTCCCCAGTGCATATGGTAGTCAATTAACATTCAAGGGAGAAAACATGGTTCCAGAAACATTTATTCCTAAACCAGTTGAATACCGAGTTGTTCCTTATGCCCTGGTCTCACCTTTGTAAAGTACCTTTAAAATGACTGCAGAAGACCCTCCAGGTCCTCCCCATTCTGATGTCCCAAGGCACAGAGGGTTAGTTCCCACCCAGCCCGACTCCCACCCCCAGACCCTGAAAGGGTGTTCTTCTAAGAAAGCACAACTGATGCTCCGGGAGCCAGGATTCAGGAATTCACCCGGATGGGTGTGTGACCAGAAGGCACACGTCTCCCTGACTGGCCTGCGGGGCCTGCTGGATGCCCACCTGAAAAGCAGCGTGACCTCTGTGGGCTTGGGGAGCCAACTCTAAGGGCCTCCATGAGCAGTGAGTGGTTCGTGTGCGAAGACAGATGCCAGGAGAGCCTGAAGAAGGCCATCACAGGGCTGGGGGAAGAGAACATAAGTCATTTCCTATCATACACAACATGACAACAAGGACAACCCAACTGGCCTGCACCACCTGCACAGTCTGCTGAAATCCTCTGATCCTCCCATGGCCAAGCAGAGTCGTCGAGTCCAGTTGGAGCAGAATGGAACAATGAAGAACAGTCAAGTCCTGGTCCTTTAAAGTGCGTTCACCTCCATCTGGACATTCGTTCTGTGACCCTCAACGTGGTCATGTGACACTGACCTCCAGGACGTGGTCTTCCTTGCTGGGGATGACAAAGACCTGCATGCCGATGCTGGAGTTGAAGACCTGGCCAGGTGGGAAGGCCTGGAGCCGAGGCATGGGCAGGCCTCTGTGCTCGGTGCTGGAGGTTGAGTGCATGCTGCCCCGGCTCTTGATGCTGCTGCTGTCTACCGCATCATCCACGTGCTTGTCCACAGACAGGCTGTCATTCTCTATCCAGCTATCTGCAAAGCACAGGGAGTGACAGTGTGTCCAGTCACATCAATGTTGTGTGCTCCTGCATGCTCCCGCAAGCAGAGCCTGGCCCCACCTTGCCATCCCGTCCGGCCCCTGGACAATGAAGTGTTGTACACAGAGAGGGGTGCCTAAGACCAGAACCACTTGAGGTGTTGGCACTGCAGATGAGCTGCTGGTTCTCCAGCCCATTCTTCCCACGTCAGTCTGCCATCTCTGAGGGCAGAGCTCTTGCTCACTCAAGTACGTTATGAACTCGATTCGCTGACGTTCTTACCAGCATCCAGCTGTGAGGAGTGGGCCGAGTGGTGCGGGAGGTATTTAAACAGCCTGACATCGGGAAAGGGCAGGTGGCCTGCAAAGAGGGGCATCACTTCCATGTGGACGCGGTGGGTGGCCTGCGCGGCCACAGGCATGGAGAGAAGGCCGGAGCTCTTCCCACACACAGCCCAGTTGCTGCTGTTGTCCACAACTGAAACACAGAGGAAGCTATGTGAGGGCCCCAAGTGGGTCACTTGATGTTCAGACTGAAGTCGGAACCCAAAATGGCCATTCTCACACCCAGCAGTGGGAGATCCGTGACAGAAGAGCACATTACACCTTCAGATCCAACATCTGTAACTCAGTGACTATCATCAGAGAGCCTCAGCTGCTCACAGAACGTGGCTTGAAACCACTCAGGGGTCCGTGTGAGAACAACCTGGCAATCTGCTTCCACGAGGATTAGAGCCGAGGAAACCCTAAAGGGCAGTTCTCTCCCTCACCTGGGTTGTCATGGACTGAGGTTACACAGTGGCACCCAACAGCAACAGTGTAATAGCTAGAAAAGATCTTGACTTCAGCCCATTAGTCAACGAGTTCTAATTTAGAGTGAACCATGCAAGAACATGTGGGGGTGGGTGGGTGGGTGTCAAACCTTCCACTAAAATAAATAATTAAAATTGGACATAAAATCTCTCTGAAAAACCTGTGTGTGATGCTTTCCAAATCTGGTTATGTGGGCTGTTGAATAAACATGCTAACTACTTGCAGTGGAAGAGTGTTCAGTGGCCCCACGAAACAGGGAAGACTCACAGACAAACAAGGTGGGATCCTGGCTGCCACGTCTCTCAGGGCCTCCCCGTTCAGCTCTGTAAAGTGGTAAGAACACCACCCCCAGTACGAGGCTGTTTTGTAAAGATGAGAAGATGTACGTGAAGAACTTAATACAACTACTGGGCCTTGATGCATGGCGGTGTTATTAACGAGCGGCAACTACTGGAGCCCAACAGGTCACTAAGCCTGTGCAAGGGCAACACAGAAGCAGGTGACCCCATGAGCAGCAAAGAGAGGGCGGGAAAGGGCCTGCGCATGAGGGACGCAGGCTCAGGGAGAGTCTGAAGCGCGGGCCACTCGGGGCCCAGCAGCCAGCTCACAGCTGCTCTCGTCATCCTGCTTCTCACTCAGTGAGACCAGGGCTGGCACCTCAGAAACAGAAACCACCACCAAGTCCCACGCACCCACTGCCAGGGCCGCGAATGGCCTCCACGGGGCAGTCGAACGAGTGGTTTTAAACCCTGAGTACACATCTTCTTTCTAATTCGTACTCTGACATGATTACAGATTACAAGATGCATAACTAGCAGGGCAGGATTCTGGCTGCCCTCCACTCAGCCCCTCAATGGTGCCACTCTTTACACCTGCAGGCCATCAGCATGGCACCACAGTTACCAGGGCCACAGATCACTGTGTGCAGACACAACTTGTGCTTCCTTTTGGGTGTGTTTTTGTGTGCATTTCTATGAAAATCTTCATGGTGCAAGCTCATCTAATCACCAAAGCTACAGACTGTTGTCACCACAGAAGGTAGCCAGCCCTCTCTATAGCTACCCTTCTGAGAAGACCCCCCCCCACCATTTCCTAAGCTCTGCTAAGCAATCATCTGTTCTCTATCCCCGTACCTTTGGTACCTTTGTCGTTTTAAGAAGGCACAGAAATGGAAGCATGCAGTCAGACAAGTTGCAATCTTATGAGGCTAGCTTGTTTCAAAGAGCAGAATGCTCTCAAGGGCCATGCCAGCAGTTCCATGACCTGGTGGCTCAGTGGGCTTTACTGCTGACTGCTAGATATTCCATGGGGTGAGTGTACTTGAGTGCCTGTAGCACTCGCCACTGAGCACAGGAGATATGCATAGCGTGGGTGCTGCAGACTCAAGTCTGGCAGTGACCAGACAGACATTTGTGCAGTTCCTGTTTGCACAGAATGAGCTGCTGCTTTCATGCAACATCACTTTGACTTGAAGGAACGACAGACAAACCATGGGGACGCAGTCACGCAGTTGTGGGTATCGGGCAATCATTTTCTCTAAATGAACGCAGTTAAGCCTATACCACTTCAAAGAAAACAACCAGCAGTATTTGTTGCTAATGACGCAGCTTGAGACTTTCAGGAAAGGTTAGCATTTTAGAAACTGACATTCGTCTCTGAGCCTGACAAAGACCTTCCTGGGGCGTGCAGTGGCGAGATTAATGAAAGGGGAATTCCTGATAGTGCTCAACGCGGGCTCTCCACGTAGAGAGCTGCATAACTCGGGAACCTATGTTCTCCTCCACATGACTAGTCTGTGGTGTGACACAAGACATCGGGGCAAAACACCCAGCGAAATGCCAGGGAGACAGTGGATCTCATCTATCAGGATGAGGAGCTCACTGTCAGCATTTAGATGCTAGTTCTAGGGCAAACTGTTAAAAACACACAACTACCACTTGTCAAGTGGTGGCAAAGTATAAAGTAAGAATGTCTTCAATCATCTAGAGAGGCTGTTAAAATACCCTCCCCCTTTCCAACCACTTTACTACACAAGGATAGATTTTCTTCATGCACTTCCAACAATACAACAGACATATACAGAACCATAAGTGAGTATTCAATTACCTCTCCTGTAAACCAGACACGAAAAAGATTTATAAAACTGCAAAACAATGCCACTACATTCTTTTGTTTCAGAAAAGTCATTTTTCATGAACAATATTGTGCAATTAGTTTATGATTGTGATTGTAAAGGGGATCAAAAAGGAGGCCTGGTGGCATTGTGGGTTAGGCACTGGGCTGCTAACCACAAGTTCAGTGCTTCAGACCCATCAGCCACTCCATGGAAGAAAAAGGAGACCATGTGCTCCCATGAGGATGTATCGTATAAGTGTCAGGAACCCTACAGAGAGACCCTGTGAGTTGGAATCAAGGCAGCAGTCCCAAAGGAACAGAGGCCCTAGTGAGGGACTGACTGGGGTGTCGGGAGAGAGATCTAGAAGGGAGGAGAGGTTTGTGTGTGTGGAGGGTGGGGAGGAGTGGGAGGAAGTGGGCTGGAGGGTGAAGGAGAAAGGGCAGGAGACATGATCACAGAGAATTTCCACTACGAGGCAAGGCAGGAAGGCATGGGTGGTGCTGAGCACACTGTCCTCGCCACACTGAGGGATGGTTGTTACAAGAGTGAACCCACAGTAACAAGAGTGCAAAGGGTCTGCCAACCTAGGATCGCAGTACATCACGACACCATTCAACAAACTAATTGTACAACGCTCTCTTTGGGGGCAAGGAACACTCACTTCGCGCGCTGACATGTCACAACAGAAGGGGCCTCTAAACCTACCTTCATACATAAGTTTCGTTGTAAAATACTCCTCTGATTCTGTCAGTGCTTCATCCTTGTCCACCTCCAGGAGGTCCGAGAGGCGAGTGATTGACACCTCCAGGGAGCAGAGCGAGCCTGTTTTACAGTACTCCATTCCCAAAGGAGGGAATATTTCAGCTTTCACATTATACAGTGTCTGGGCAAGGGGAGAGAGAGAGAAAAGCACAAAGGGAATGTGTTCAGTCTGGAGACATAGGCCAATGTGGACAGGAACCCAGGGGAACTCCTGCTTGCTTAGCCTCTAGAGCAGCAGTTCTCAACCTGTGGGTCGTGACCCCTTTGGGGGTCGAACGACCCTTTTACAAGGGTCGCCCGATTCATAACGGTAGCAAAATGACAGTGATGAAGTAGCAACGAAAATAATTTTACGGTGCGTGGAGGGGGACGGTGTCACCACAACATGAGGAACTGTATTAAAGGGTCGCAGCATCAGAAAGGTTGAGAACCGCTGCTCTAGAGCCTCGAAGCTACTATGGTCACTTCTCAGAACAGCCCCTAATATAGGCACAAGCTCTAGGAAGTCATCACTGAAGGGCCTTTAAGCCTTTTCAGCAGGCACATTTTTGAGTGCACACAAAGGACGAAGGAGGAACGACTCCCGTGTCTACCTCCCAAATTCACCAGTTATGAATCTGTCTGCCTGCCTACATCCGTTTGCTGAGATACATGAACGCAGGGCTGGCCTATCGTTTTCACTGAACATACCTGAATGTACTTTGGTATCACCCAACATTTAGTCCACACGCAAGTTTCACTGGGGATCTCTTCCAAATTGCTATTTATACTGGTCTCTAACATTTGATCATGGTTCAGGTCAAAGAATCAAAACAGACCTGCCCTCCTACATGAGACAGTAGCTTAACCACCACATTCTAGCGTGCTGGCAGTTTTACTTTTAAATAAATATTCATTCATTGACTATATAAAATTTACAACACAACTCTACTTTAAAAGATGTTCCATTGGAATTAGAAAACCTTCAGAGAAAAATAGCCTTGGAATTTTTTTTTAAAAGCCTAATATTAAGACAAAAAAATTGCCTGGAAGTTAGACAAGTAACAGGCTTTTCTCAAAGGTAAGTTACATCCACCAGAAGAGAGGCCCGGCCCAGCCAGCGCTGGACGAGGTTTTCCTACTTCACTGACATCAAAAGGAGGCGCCCTCGGAAAGACCTCAACACACTGGGCAGACACACGTGCCCCACCCAAGGGGGAGGGGGGAGAGGGGTTGAAAACGGAATTAGACAAAGGAAAGTGCTGGCTTAAAAGTTCCTGCCTTTCCAGAAGATCAAGGCAGGAGGGTCGGCAATCCAGGAAGTTGATGAGCCCAGCGGAGAAAGCGTGGTGTCTCCTCAGTGAGGGAAGGAAGCGCGGGTAGGCCGTGATGAGCCTGGGTCTACTGCCTCTGGCTGTGCGTGGAAGCAGCAGCAGGGTCCTGGAGAAGCACTGGCCACAGAGTGAGCAGTGAGACCCACCTCTCCCTGATGCAGGTGACAAACAATGTCTACAAAGAATACACCTCTGTAGTCATCACAGGAGCACTAATGCCAGCTCCACCCCCACACCCCTACCCTGCTGCTCTGTGGGAGAAGCATGTGGCCAAGCGGCTGTCTACTCCTGCACAGATCAGCCTGGGAAACCCTGTGGGGCAGTTCCACTCTGTCCTACTGGGTCACTATGAGTTGAAAGGTCATCATGATAAATGGAGAAAAGATAGAAGTTGTCAAGGATCCACGATCCATGCTCATGAAGGCAGACGTCAAGAGATGCAAAGTCATGTTGGCATTAGGTAAATCTGCCGCACAACACCTGTTTAGCGCACTGAAAGCCAAGGTTACTTTGAGGATTAAAGTGTACCTGGCGCAAGCCAGGGAAGGACAAACAGATTTGTCTTGGAAGTAAAGTCAGAATTCTCCTTAGAGGCAAGGATGGCGAGACTTCATCTGGCGTACTTTGCACACGTTGTCAGGAGAGACCAGCTCCTGGAGAAGGACATCATGCTTGGTAAAGTGGAAGGGGCAGCGAAAGAGAGGAAGGTCTTTGAGGAGCTGGACTGACAGTGGCTGCAACAATGAGCTCAAACCTAACAACTAGGAAGCTGGCACAGGAGCGAGCAGTGTTTCGCTCTGTTGGACACCGGTGCCTATGACTCAATGGCAGCCAGCAACCCCGTCCTTATTCCACCTGTATGCGCACAAATCCTCCGAGAAGCTAGACTATATGAAGAAGCACGCAGGGCTAGACTTGGAGGACGGTTTGTTGACAGCACGTGATATGCAGAAGACACAACTTCACTTGCTGAAAGAGGTTGGAAGCATCGAAGACTACAGCATTCAGTGTGGTTTATACTGGAACAGAGAGAAAATAAAAACCCTCACTCACTACCTGGACCAGTAAGCAACACCATGATAAATAGAGAAAAACTTAAGGTTGCCAAGAAATTGATTTTATTTGGAACCTTGAACAACCACGAAAGCCAAAGTCAAGAAATTAAGCAACATATTACATTGAGCCAATCTGCTACAAAAGACCTCTTTAAACTGTCCAAGAGTAACAATATCACTTTGAGGGCTAACCCGCACCCGACCCAAGCCGTGGTATTTCCCATCGCCTCAAAAAGGAGGAGGAGGAGGAGGCCCTTGCTGATAGAGACTGGTACAGTGGCTAACTCAGGACAGTTGTGAGGGCGGCGAAGGACGGACGAGGCAGTATTCAGTCTGCTATACACAGGCCGCTAGGGGTTGGAGCACACCTTTCACAACACACACAACAAGCGCAGAACAGATTGTAAAACTAGTTATACAGCAGAAAAGACATGCAGGTGAGGGTGGACAGTGGCAAAGGAAGACCAGAGAGGAATCGATGCACTGGAATGAGCAGTTAGTGAAGGACACTGAGTATCCATATATACCTGGACAGCTAGAGGAAGGAGCACATCTATCTCGGGAGAAGCACAACCGAGTGATCCTTAGAGAAAGGACTTGTCTCTCCCATCCTGGATATGCTAGTAGGAGGAGCCAGCTGTACTTGGTAAAATACAGGGCTTGACACAGGGCTGCAACAACGGGCTCAGTAAAAACAACTGGAAGGGTCAGAGAGGACTAGGCAGTGCATCCCTCTGTTGTCCAGGGTCCCCATGAGTTTAAGCTGACTCGAGTGTACCGAGTAACACCACCACCTCCCACCACTCACAAAAATGAACTCAGAGCAGATTGCAGACCTAAATATGAGTGCTGAAACGATAAAACTTTGAGAAGTGTGAGAGAAATCTTTTGACTCTGAGTTAAGCAATGATTTCTTAGATCCAACACCAAAAGTACAAGCAATAAAAGAAACTGATTAGCTAGACTTCAGACAGAGCGTGCTTGTATTTCATATATCTGATAAGGCATTTGTATACAGAACTCCTAACAACTCAATATAAAAACAAATAACCAAATGTAAACACTGGATAAGAAATCAAATATGTATTTCTCCAATGGGCCAATAAGCGTATGGAAGCATGCTTAACATCACGATTGCTCACTTATGTGTCACAAAGTCAATGCTGACTCAGAGTGGGTCCCTGTGGCAGAGTGAAACTGCCCCACAGGATTCTCAAGGCTGCAACCTTAATGGAAGCATATTGCTTGGTCTTTCTCCCATGGAGGGGCTGAGGGGTGGGGGGGTCACACTGCCAACCTTTCCATGACAAGTGACACAGGGCTTCTTAATCCCATTCAACCTGCTGCCACCAAGGACTCTGACTCACAGGGACCACAAATGAATCATTTCCCATTCGTCAGAATGACCGTAATCCAAAACAGAGGCAAGTAGTCATGAGGATGTGGAGAAACTGGCTTGGGAATGTTCAATGGTACGGCTGTTTTGGAAGTGGTCTGGTGGCTCCCAAAGATGCTCAATATAAGAGTTCCATCTGACCGGACAACTGCACTCCTAGGTACTTACCCAAAGGAGCTCAAAGCACACGCCCTCACCAAACCTGAATATAAATGCTCCAATCAGCATTAGGCCTAACAACCCCAAAATGAAAACAACCCAGATCTTTATCAATACAGGAGTAGCTACACAAAACGTGGTCATCTAAACAATGGAATATTATTTAATCATGAAACGCTAAAACATGGATGAACCTTGAAAACATTATGTTAACTTAAAGAAGCCACTTACAAATGTCTCATGTGACCTGGTCCCACTTACGTGGAATGTCTTAAGTCCACAGGCACATTTCCCTGTCGGTTCGTGTGTGCCCGAGGCTGAGGGGAAAAGGCACTGGGCAGTACCTGTCCTGCATGCAAGGTTTCTTTGTGGAATGACGGAAGGGTTCTAAAATAAGGTTATTCTGATAGTTGCACAACTCTAAAAATATCGATGTTCGAAAAACAAAGTGCCATCCATTAAATATTACCCTGTGGGTACACAGTTCTACATAAACATTCTTTCCGTCCTCTTAGTTTCAAGAGAGAAAACAAAGAAAGAAAACCAGTTAAGTAGCTAACAACCACCTGCAGAAAGCAAAGCAGATCGCAGACTCTTTACCACACAGACGACTTCTTGCCCAGTTGCTGTCAACATGACAAAAAGGTTCTGTCTGCAGTGCAGAAAGAAAGATTCTGCTAGTTTAACCCTCTGTGGGTGATCATGAGAGCTAAATAAAACATAGGGCCCAAGCAAATAGTCTGTTAAATTGAGAAGAAGGCAAAGTTGCTGCTACTATCAAGAACTAGTAGCACACATACTTTCTCAAATAAATGCTGTTTGACCATTCACATAAGGATTTGTGTAACCAGAAATCCAATCAATCATCTCACTAAAGGAACAGATACACTGCATCTACTCACTATTGTCAGCTCCACATCTAAATTGGCTTCTACCAAGAGGCATGTTAAGTAGAAGGCTATTAAAGATGCAAATTACTGTAACACTTACAGTGCTGCATTGCAAGAGACATGCTTTATAAAATAATGCCTCTGAGTAGTAGCTATAGATCACAATGAAATGTCAAAGGAAGGAAAAAAGACTCTCTTGAGCTTTATATAAGCACTAATCCTAGAAGCGCCAGGAAGAGTCTACACCGAGCAGGCGTACCCTTGGGAAAGGTCTGGGCTTCTAAAATGCAGTCAGAGATCTAACTGACCCAAGTATGTGCCAGCTTTCTCCATCTCTACTCAACTTGTCAGATTATAAACGCCTACAGTCCGACCTTCTATTGTTAGGACCCTTGCCCAGCCCCCCCACACCCTCCAACTACTAAAATACATACAAAAAAATTCTCCACTTGGAATTCGTAAGTGTATGGCTGTAAGGAGACTGACAGCCGCTCTTCAGAAGCTGGGGAGAATCCAACGGAGAAGCAGCAGTGCAGGGCTGGGGGCGGCTCCCTCGTCCACTTCAGCTCCCAGACAAAGAACACTGACTGTTGGCTGTGAAAGAGCTGCAACCAGAGTCAGCCGTCAGTGGACACCACAGAAACAAGAATGCCCGCGAGAAAGGCGCCCCCTGCCGGGAAGCAGGGACCCTCTGACCCAGGACACCCACAGAGGGGCACTGGGGCCCTGCACCACCCACTGAGAAAACGATATGCCCCACTCTAGAAAGCGATTACCTGCTGGGACTGCGTGTTCAGCGGCACTAGGTCCAGGTCGGCACTATCACCGGTGTCTGTTAGAGTACTATCTGAGAGCCGGAAGTCAAGTTCCGACAGATTCTGGACACAAATCTGAACATATTTCCTAAGACAGAAAAAAATTTGAGGGACGGTTTTTCCATTTAAGAACCTTAATAAATGTATTTGGCTTGGTTGGGAGGACCCTTTATGAAGGAAACAGAAAGTACAGCAGAATGAAAACGAGTTGTTGGGTTTACTTTCCGCTCTTGATTCCACGTTAGACCAAATCTCTTTAAGCTACTGTTGTGGGAAAATGGACCAAAGAGCACTATGTTTCCGGCCAGGCATTAGCGCATGATGGCAGACCTTTATAAACATACTGATAGACTGCAATAAGTTACGAAGAAGAGACAGTGCTAGAACAGCTCATAGAAATAATTACTTGGTGAGAAATTAAATTCACATTTGAATTTCTATTACATGTAAAGAAGAGTTTTTTTTAAAGCCAACCAAGCACCTGGGGTTCTATTTAAATACATGTCATGTTTTTACCCAATGTCACCAGCATTCGGTGGTTAGGTGCCAGGGTGCACCTGCTCTAGAGATAACTGCTAGTTGGCAGGAGGTACAGGGGACCAAGGAATCGTTAAACCCACAGAGATGTGATCAGCCAGATTCAGAATGGCCAGGTGGCCCACATTCAGCATGTGAATGGCTTGGAAAATGGGAGAGGTGGGTAAGGAAGGAGTGGGGGAGTAGGGAGGACGAGAGATCAAGGGAGATAATAGTCAGATGGGAACTTAGTTTAGGTCTCGATTCAAGCCAATCAACGGCAACACGTCAATGATCCAGTGGGAGAGGCCGAGTATGGACTGACTAGGGGTTTGAGGAGACCATGAAATTATTTTTGAACTAAACAGGTGGGCAGTGGCATTGTGATGGCATAAGAAAATGCCCCTAATAGTTAGTAATGTGCAATTAGAAATGACATGATGTGGCATAAGGCCTGGGAGTGCTCTAAAATTCTTTAGAAAAAAAAATGTTTGACTATATCACAAGTTCCATTTCCCCTCAAAGTTTTAGTTATTTTTCCCCCCCAAGGAAAAATAAAAACAAGCATTAGAATAACCTTTGTCAATGGAATACTGTAAACTCTACATAACAATTGTTTCTAGTATGATTACACAGTCCATGATACATTTCTAAACAAAAAACTGGTGAAAATGTGCTTATTTTCTATATACCGAGAGGAAGATTAAAGGAACTAAATTCCCACTAGGGAAGGCAACTCCCCAAACAAATGCATTCATAGGACTTGTATCTTCGTCACTAAAGCTAAGCTCCGACCAACCAAGAATCTCAGAAAGAACCAGGCTGGTGTGTGAGCCTGCTTACCGAGTCCCAGCTGACAGCAGTGTGTGTGTGGTCTGGAACGGCACACTGAAGGTCAAGGCAATGACAGTTGAGTAGATGGACCATGGGCAGTCGATCGACACCTGCAAAGACCAAGCATGAGGTGAGACCGCACAGGCACCACTACACTGGTCCCAATTTGCAGCATCTGCCAATTTAGTAGACATGTGATCATCCTACCAATCATCACGCAGACCACAAGCCCCTCCTTAAACACATGTGTACACAGACAGGAGAGGAGCCTCTGAGATCCAGAACTGGCAGAAAGCCAGGCCTCACATCAGGGCCTCGACGTTAGGGAGCACAGATGGGAGCCAAGCACCAAGTCCATGCCGGTACAGTTCTCACACTTACATGGCCAAAGTGCTTTCAAAGTCCATCTATCCAGAGTGTGTTAGTCAATCACTCCCTTCAAAGTCAAATAAATTACCTGAACACCGATTCCCTAGGATGCTGAAACCAGGAACTGAAAACCAGTCCCCCACTGTGGGGGTGCAGTGTAGGTCAAGCTATCAATTCCTTTAAGGAAAGGCACTAGGTCTCAAACTTCCTTGTCCTTCCCACTGACAGCACCGAGTGCACAGAGCACAGAACAGCACTCACTCTGTACTGACTCCGGGCTCTTTGAGTGAAATGACTCTCTTCTTTGCCTCTGGATCTGTTCATATTCTCTCAGCGTTGTCCTGCTTGATACTTGCGGCCCTGGTCTCTTCAGGATGACCACCATTCTCATCCTCTGTCTACTCTAGTGTGTACGTCAGGACTCTCTACACCTGGATGTCCAAGACGGCTCCGAGTTGAGACTGGTGTTACAGAGCACACTCTCTCACAACCACAATAACAGCAACACATTGCAAATGTTGATTTACTGAGGATCCAGGCACAAAGTCACAGAGCTGTCAGCTTCAGTGATGCCACACTTAAGGCACTCAATGACAAGGTTCTTGCCTCGCTAAGCTTATCTATGCTCCAGGGGACAAGAACAGAAGCATGCCATCCATCGCACTCTGGCCTCCTCTAAAGGACAAGTAGACGGCCAGCCCCAATGTCACAGCTCCTCCCACAAGCCTGAAGCATCCACTCAGCCCCTGACAATACCCCTTCCTTCCCACTTTCACTGTGTTGTGCTTGCAGGGGAGAGCTGTGCTGTTAGAGATGCGAAACTCAAACCCACGGCCCTCCAGCAGCCAGCTCTCTTTGGTCTGCTAAGCACTTCCCTCACAGTGATAAGCCGCTGACCATGCCTTACTTTGTGGTCTGTGGTCACCATGCCCTGGCTAGCTGCCGGCCTCTCCGGACAGCTCCCAGGAGGCTCCTTCAGTGCAGGCTGGACACTGTCCCCTCGAGATGCTGGAGCTGAAGGCAGTGAGAGGACATCCAGTTCAAACTCAATCAGGTGGTACGCAGGTGCAGCTGGCAGGCTGATGCTCGTGACCTTCCCTGAGGACTGAATCCTGAGTGATGTGTCTGAAAACTTCTCTATGAAAAACAGAAAAGGTTTCATGTTCCCTTTCTTAAAGCAAGTGAGCTGACAACTGGCGGTGTGGTGGTGGGGGGGGGGGGCGTTGGGGATCAAGGAAGGGCTCAGTCGGGAGGAAAGCTGGAAGACCCAGCGCTAGAGGAACTCCAGCGCAGGGCAGGGCAGCACAGCAGGAAAGTCAGGCAGAGGAGCAGGCAGGAGCCCAGGGAGTGCCATTATTTGGCAGCCTGAAGACTTCTGTGTTTCTCTCTACTGCCCCTGCACACCCCACACCCACATCCTGCCCCCAACGGCACCACAAAATACTGCATGTGTCTGTGTGGCATCCTTCCCACCACAACCCGCCTGCTGGCCAGCAACTGCCCAGAAAGGGAGCATAGGGTCTCCCAGATCCCATGGCCAGGAATTTAGGGAGAAAAGAATTCCAAAATGGGATATCTAGCCAGTGCCTACAACAGCTGACTTGTCTGGGGGGAGTTTGGTGTTGGTAGGGGAGGAGTGGGAAAAAGGCAAAGGTTGGCACACAGTGTTTCGCCCCCGAAGTTTAGTTCTCTAAATGCAGATTAGTAACCCTGAAGGGTCACATGCTTTTCCTAGGGTCGCCCTCACATGGAGTGCATATAAATTGTTCTCTTCCTCCCCAGTAGGGGAGTCACCACCCACTCTGGCACAACGGAGAGCCGTGGGGGGATGGGATTTCAGGTGTCACCTGAGTTGCACTGGACACAAGCAGCACACACTTGTCTGACTGTGTGGGCACGGTCATGCCCTCGCGCTAGCCTCCTCACAGAGCAGTGGTTCTCAGCCTTTCTCATGCGGGACCCTTTCATACAGTTCCCCCAACCAAAACACTATTCTCGTTGCTACTTCATCACTGTAATTTTGCTACTGTTACGAATCACGCGACCCCTGTGGAAAGGGTTGTTCGACCCCCAGGTTGAGAACTGCTGCCACAGAGCATGCTGGTGCTAGAGAACTTTACAGGACTGCCCCAATCCGATGCCTCTCATCTGTAGTGCCAGGCGCCTCACCTCTTGTGTTAGAGTAAATGACTGCTCTGTTCTCCGCAGGACACAGGATGAGCATGGCTTCCGCATTGCTGAGTTGAAGACTGTCCCCGCTTTTCACTGTATAGTGGCCGGTCATGACCGTGAACTTGACCTTCTGAGGAATCCCAGCCAAAAGGCTATCTAAAGGGGAAGAGGCAGCAATTAGCACCCCTAACCACCACAAAATATGAATTAAAGCCTACCAAGAGGTACAGGACTGGACAGTTTCCTTCTGTTGTGCATATGGCTGTTATGAGTCGGAACCAATTCCATGGCACCTAACACCACCACCACCACCACCACCACCACCACCTTGAGGTGCCAGAGAGTTCAGGGTCTTTTAACGACAAAAAATTAACTTTCTATGGAGAGACTCCATGAGTTTTCTCAGTTTTCACTCCTTTCTGCACTAACTCTAATCTAAACGATCTAACTACAGGGTTTAAGGGAACCCTGAGGAGATCTTATCACCAAGTCCTCCGGACAGTAAGGGAACCAGACTGCCCGCAGACTAGTCCGCTTCCGGCCAGAAGAAGCCGTGGATGGCTAGGGGTACCATAGACTCCTACACTGGGCTAGAGTGCAAAAAGGGCAGGTGTTTCTAAGGGGCTGCTGTGGGGCAGGCAGAAAGAGGGAGGCAAACATTTAGCCTTTGAAAGGAAATAAGCAGGAAGTTACATTTATTTTCTGATATTTGGCTAACTTTCCTTATGTTCAGGTACGCCATGGTAATTAAACATAAGCGCCAGCCATCGCAGTTACAGAAAACGGTGAGAGCTGATGAGCCCACAAGCAGACCCCCAGAGCGCGGGGACCAGTGAGGAAACACAACACAAAACGAAAGCAGCGAAGGCCCCTTCCAGCGCTGTGCCAACTCACCAGCAAGGGGCTCCACGTGAAGCTGCGGCTCCTGCGAGTACACGTCGTATTGCACGATGGGGTAGACATGAGGGAGGACAAACCACAGGGGGCCCATGGAGGCACACAGCTGCCGGAGCGTGTAGGTTCCAGGTTCTTTGGCCTAGAGTGAAATGCAGCATTTGGAAGCACGTCAAGCCTGAGATAAGGATGAGCTTTCCGAGGGAGAGCTGCGGTTCTCAGTGTCTTAGGTTTGTTTGTCCCCTCATGCTAAGGTCTTTCTGAGCAGATCCCTACACCCAGACATCGACTGTGGTAAGGAACGTCACATTCCATCCTCCACGGGTATTTGACAAAGACCTCCTCTGAGACAAGACTCAGAGCATACGTCACCAAAAACCAAATCAGAAGTCTCTACGCGTGGCTGTACGTCTCACTAGCCAAGTCCATGTGGTCAGTGGAACTCAGCGTGCTGAAGACATGCTGCCCGGGTACAGTGACACCCGAATGAGTCAGAAGCGCCTGGCCCAGCAGCCACATAAGGAAAGTAAGGGTAGCCTGAAAGCATGCCACCTTCTTTGAAATTTACACATGGAACAAGCATGGAGGGTGCATTTTTAAGAAGCAGGGTGAAAGGCTAACCAAATCCCATGGGAACTAAAATAAATCTGTGCTAAGAACTTCATTCAAAGTCTATCAAGCGCATTAAAGTTGCATAAGTAGAAAAGTTTTTACATGCCACCTATTTTTCTTTAAGGATACAGATAAAACCCAGGGTACAGAACAGAGGATTGTCCTCAGTACTCGACATGCTCCAAAAAATCCTCTCGGACGCTCCGTCACTTTCCGCCCTCACACACCTGAGTCCTGAATAGGACCTTATTGGGCCCCGGCTCCAGCGTCACACTGCTGCACTTGAGCACGTGGGCCCCGTCCTCGAGAGCCACTGTGGAAGGCACGTCTAGCGAAGAGCTGCTCTCCTGCCTTCTGAGGAGCATGTGCACGTTCTTGCAGATAATCCCTGTGGTGTTCAAGGAGTTATCCGACGGACTTCTCTCAAACATCTCGTACAGCTCCAGCGCCGGCAAACTGTTCTGGGACGCGGGGAAGGGCACAGGCTCCTGGGGAAAGTGAACGATGCCGTTGGACGTCTTATGCTTGGTGAGCCACTCCGCGGTCTTTCGGTAGTTGTTCTTCTCAATGCTGAAGTGAACGCTGACAGTAATCTGCTCCACGTGGACGGAGATGGGCATCTGGCTCCACAGCATTATCTCCACAGAAAGGACGCCGCCCACATGGACCACGGCATTCAATGGGTCGAAATGGAGACTCTTCAGTTGGGCAAAAGAATGCATAGGCAGGACAATTTTATGGCCTGTAAAGACAAGTGACAGGTTGTTTCCCAAGTACCATTCCTCGATAGTCCTGCACAGTGGTTCTCAACCTTCCTAATGCCGTGACCCTTTAAGACAGTTCCACATGTGGTGGCGATCCCCCCCCCAACCATAAAATCATTTTCGCTGCTACTTCATCACTGTAATTTTGCTACTGTTATGAATCAGGCGACCCCTGTGAAACGGTCGTTGGGGTTGACCCACAAAGGGATTGCGACCCACAGGTTGAGAACCACTGTCTAGCAGCTCCCTGGAAACGCTCAACATGAGAAAGGGGAGCAGAGACGTGCAACTACACTTCAAACCTCCCTGACCTCAGGCCACCTTCCCGCCAGCAATAGAGCCACTCTGGTAAAAACCACCACAACAAACGAGGAGCAAACCCGCTGTGGCCCAGTTGATTCTTGCCCACTGCACTCCTAGAGGGCAAAGCAGAACTGCTGCCGGGTTTCTGAGACAGTGAAGCTGTACCATAGTTGATCACCTATCTTTCTCCAACTGAGTGGGCTCGAGCCTGTGACCTGGTGGTTTGCAGTCTGGCACTTAGCCCACTACACCACCAGGAATCCTGTTTTGTCATGAGTGGAATACAAGCAGATGCCTACACAACTCTCCGAAATCAGAAAATCTAGAGAGGGACGGGTACAAAGAGGAGCTGATGTCAAGGGCTCAAGTAGAAAATGTTTTGAAAACGATGACAACATATGTACAAATGTGCTTGATACAATTGACATATGGATTGTTATAAGAGCTCTAAGAGCCCCCAATAAAATCATTTACTAATAAAAAACAAATGAACAAAGAAATCAGAAAATCTTAAGAAATTAAGGTTTCTGTTTGAACAAACCTGAGATGCAAATCAATTCACCCTTCAACTTCAAAATGACACATCCAAATGGTCCAATCTTAGAGTTGTGTCAAGGAATTCCAACACCTTCCCACTCACTTAAGAAATCCTCAGGTAAAGTCATCCGACCACCCCCATGCATACTAGGAAATAGTGTCTGGCTCTGTTATCCCAAAGGGCAAGCCCCGCCACCATTCTCTCCAGTTCCTCCCCCTCCCTGACCATCTACAAGCACCGGATTTCAATGAGAAACTCCATGGTGACAGGTCTGCCCACAAAATACTGATTAAACAAGGGCTAACCAATGAAAGGGCTTGCCAAGACTGACAGGATCAGACCCGGAGATAACAGCAGTCAGTTGTGGAGTATCTTCCTCCTGCAGGAAGGACACTCCTAACACAGGCAGCTCCTCCAACCAAACGTGGCCATGCACGGTGCGACCAGTGACCAGCCTGGCACACCCCAGGGTCTGAGGAGGCACACAGTCTCCTCCCAGTGCTCCTGTCCAAGAAACACGCTCGCTCTACTCGACTGAACTGCACCCGAGGGGCCCCTGACCAGGTCCACTTGGGGCCAGAACCTCTGGGAACACTGGTTCTGCAGTGGTTAGTGATTACTTTAAATGAGCATTCTTCTTGATAGACTAAAGCCAAAGAGGTAAACTTTACAACACGTTTCACACAGCACTGAAGTATATTTGCCAGAATTTTTAAACGGAATCTCAGCCTTTCAGCTCTAACTTCCAGTTTATGCTCCAACAGGCAAACATCAAACTGCAGGATATCCGAAACTTTGTCAGACAGCTGGCCAATGTCTTTAAGAAGTCGATGCCTTACAGACCAAATGTGCATCATCTCGTCCAGGGACAAACACAATGTGGTATTCGTACAATGGATATTATTCAGCCATAAAGAGAAAGGAGTCCTGATGCATGCTACCATGTGAATTAGCCTTGAAAACATTGTGCAAAAACGAACAAACCAGCCACAAAAAACCACTGTGTGGGTTTGTTTCTAGGAAAGCCCCGGATAGACAAATTTAGTGAGATGGGAAATAGGTCCGTGGCTGCCTGGGCTAGGAGGTTCAGGAGGGAACGAGTAGGGGTTGTGCTGATGGCTGCACTACTCTGTAAATACACGAGAAGCCACGGAATCGTCCACTAAGAATCGACTGTGTGCGCTGTGAATTCCAGCTCCATAAAGCTACTACAAAAAGAGTCAGTATCGTCAGAGCAAAGGGGATGAAGAATGAGCAAAGGGAAGAACTATTTCATTAAGCGTTGAGTTATAAAAGTCAAATGCATTATGTGATCCTTCATTGGAACCTATTAAATGGTAACTTTAAAAACCATGCCTAAGACCATTAGGGAGATCTGAATCGAGAGCCATTAGTCACTAACTGAAGAAATGCGTTCCTTCTCTGGGTGCGACGCTTGCACGCCTAGGAGAATGTCATTATTTGGGGAAAATGTACATAAAAAGGTGCAGGTGAGGTCAGGAAGCTTCTTTGAAGTTGAGCAAAACGCTAGCAGTCGTTGAATATACAATTGATTGGTATATACTATATTTTTTTCCCCTTAAGGCTTAATTTTTTAAATCGTTTTATTAGGGGTTCATACAACTCTTATCACAATTCATACACACATCAATTGTGTAAAGCACATTTGTACATTCATTGCCCTCATCATTCTCAAAACATTTGCTCTCCACTTAAGCCTCTCATTTTCCCCCTCCCTCCGTGCTCCCCCCTCCCTCATGAGCCATTGATAATTTATAAATTATTATTTTGTCATATCTTGCCCTGTCCAACGTCTCCCTTCACCCAACCGTATTATTCTTTCCGGTTTTTCATATATTTGGAAATTTTGTAGTAAAGTTTCCACACCAGTCTTACCTGGGCTCTCTGTCTGCTGGCTGGCAAAGCTGAGGATCTCTTGGCAGAAGTGTTTCCTTTCCTCCTCTGTTAAGTGAGCATCGCTGGCTAAGAGGCTACTGGTCTGCAGGTAGCTGAGTGGAGAGTTAAGGGCACAGAGCGACTTCCCAAGCCCTTTTGGAAGCCACCCACAGGTCTTCTTTTCTTACATTATTAGGAATGCAAAGGCAGATAAAGCATGTCGACCATGTAATTAATTGGTATTCCACATACTGACACTCTACACAAATACAAGGTTGGATTTTTAATTAGTAGGGGTTTACGAAGCTTTTAATTGGGGGTACCGCTGCTATAAAAATAGCAATCAATGTTCTTATTTGGGGGCACTATTAAAGGATACTTTTCAACCTGTCCAAGGTGTTTCTGACACTCGGCCAGCTGCTTCCTGGTGTGTGTGATGGGCAGTGCCCAGCCCTCAGCCAGGTAGTTTTTCAGTGCTCCTTGAAGGTAAGGCTCAGCCTTCTGTGGAGACCTTTTCCTCCTTGCAAAGCCAACAAACCAAAGTTTTCTTCATGCTCATGACAATGACAAATGTAGACAGCACCTTTGCCGACTTGCTCTCCTCCCTTCACCACCCAACCTGGTGACGGAGCTCCGCCCATGAGGTGCTCCTTCTCCACCTGCCCCTCGTGGACCAGGAATACTTAACCTGCCTCTGAGGCAAAGAGCTCAAGCACGGGCTCGTGGGATAGCCCCCCACCGCAGTGTAGATTCACGCATTATTCAAAGGACTTTGACACCTGAATTTCAGGATAATAAGACACCACTTGTTCATCCAAAAGACAAGAAAACCAAGGACAAAAGAAAGCAGAGGCTATGTTCTTAGGTAAGTGAGCTAGCCAGTAATGGAGTGACTGTAAGGTACCTGGGCTTGGCGCTATACTGCTTCATGAAGATGCATCGACACAGGCACAGTCCTGTGGCCCATCTGAGGGGACTTCAAACTGAGACTCAGCAGAGCGCAAAGTGGGCCTGAGAGGCTCACGGAGAGCATGGGAGCATTAAACAGCAGCACACATCACTCCAGGGAGAGTCTCGGTCCAACTTAAACTTTAAAGAGGCTGAGAATAAAACCAAGGCAAAGCTGAGAGCACAAAGGGAGTGGAACTTGCCAGCGTCTCGGTGACAATGTGGAGCCTCACCTGCCTACAAGTATGGAATTCCAGCTCCCGATAAAGACCAACAAAAAGCACACTCATTCTCTCTGGGAATCCTTGGAAGACATTCCAGCTTTTACTGCTCTACTCCTGTGGCAGGAAGAATTCTCATATCCTCGAATAAATTCTCAAATGTTTAAACCCATTAAACTACCTACTGTATATACTCGTGTAAAAGCAGAGTTTTCCAGCACATTTTTAACGCAGTTTTGTGGTCAAATTAGGCGCCTTGTCTGATATTCGGGTCAGCTTATACTCGTGTATATATGGTATATTAATTTTTGCACTCTCTAGCCTGTCTTTGAAAGAAGTCAGAATCTCTAATATGTATCTAGTTACTCTCGCTAACAAAAGGCCTGCCAACCCTAGACCTAGACAGGACCCTGACAGGAACACCCAGGGCCTCTCACAGAGGCTCCTGGACAAGGAGCGGGCAGGGGCCAACAGTCACATGGCTACTGTGTGGCCAGTCTAGGAACAGGCCCCAGTCTCCCGACCAGCAGCCATATGCTACCCTGTACCTCACTGCCTCGGAATCCACTGTTTGTCCTTCCCAATCAGTGTTCCACCTGATCAAACCTACAGCCCCGAAGCTGTGGTTTCTCCATTCCCTTACGCAGTAACATTCCCAGGACACACTGGATGGGGATTCAGGAGGGCCAATTTCAGCCCTGGCTCTACCATTAATTAGCTGTGTGACGAGTATGTATTACAGCCACATCTGGAAAATTAATGGCTCACTTAGCTGACCCAAGAATCCCCTTCCAGTCAATTCTTACCGGGGAAAACACACTATTCTTTCCCTTTTTAGCAGTTGTAATGAACTACCGATTTCAGATTTTAAAATATTGCTTTCAATACACTTTTATGTATTTAAATTAAATTCAAAACAAATGCCTTTCCCCCCATATAATTTATAGATCTTTCCAAAGCTTTCAAACAGCCAACGTTTCTTCACTGAAGACTTATTTTGTCCAACCCACTAAGAAGATGCATCATTTATTCTTAGCTCTGGAACGAAACTTCAAAGCTGGCACCAGAATGGGAATGCATACAGCATTTGGACACACCAGCCAGTCAGCTTGCCTCTCCCTAAGGCTCTACTGCCCAGTTACTTATTACATGACTGGCCTTGGCATCTTCAATCCACCCAAGAAGCAGCTGATGTATACCAGATAATATGCCATGGAAAAAGACATTTAAGAGTCTGCATTTCAATTTATCTGCCATTAACTAACTGCCTTGTAACTTTCAAAATAAAAACAACCTCAAAGACAAGCTGAAACCCTTCCACTTGGCTTTCAGACTCCATTTTTTAAAAAAAGGTAATTAGTTAATATAGAGCCCAAGTTTTTCATCTATAAATTTATGCACACTTTATATTGTCTATACATAACAAATCCTCTCGTATTAACAATAAAAGTTCAAGATGACTTACATGTAAAACTCTGCCAAATCCTTTCCAACGAACTTAGCTGACCGGATCCTCCCAATACTTGTGTACATTTCGATGGTGGCATGGGACAGATCCTGTGGAGCAGTGAAAGCATACAGTTATGTCTGAACATTTCATGCTAGACAAGTCCTTCACTTATGTACTTAAAGCAGAAGCCTAAGGTATTGTGTCATTGCCACACTATTGTTTACTTGGCACCTCTGTGTCATTTAAGTTATACTTAATGTACACAAAAGTATGTTAACGTATAAATTATGAAGTATAGTAATAAAAAAATACTCATGAGTTCTCCAGGTAGAACACATAAAACTATTCGACATCCTTCCATGTGTGGGTTGCCTCTTTGATATTTTCCTCAACTTTTATATAACATTGACATACCATTAGAACAGCAGCTCTCAACCTGTGGGTCATAACCCCTTTGGGGGTCGAACGACCCTTTCACAGGGGTTGCCCGATTCATAACAGTAGCAAAATTATAGTTATGAAGTAGCAATGAAAATAATGTTATGGTTGGGGGTCACCACCACATGAGGAACTGTATTAAAGGGTCGTGGCATTAGGAAGGTGGAGAACCACTTCATTAAAAACTACTATTAAATGCTCTCAAGTGAACCACACACCCAGGGAAAATGCTGACCCCACCTCCCACCCCCAAGCTTCTAAGTACACTGCTTTCAATCAAGCATCATAGCTCTGCCCAAAGACAAACTCTTTTGACATATGGAACAATTCCTTACCATCCCTTAGAATTCCTATTCTACTAAATGAGCAAGCACGTGTTAAATAAAGCTATAAATATTCAAAGATTCTTTTGTGCCAACATGGATACTAATAAGTATTAATGAACAATTGCATGTTTCGTCTACAATTCCCAGGGAATCAGAAAGGTTGAAAGGCCAACAAGAAGGGGGTCTGTGCTGCCCTCAAAGGTTCCTTGCTGCCCTCCCTACTAGGGATAGTACAAGTCTCCAAGAGACAAACTGCTCCATGGTGGACTGTGGCCCTGTCATACTTACTAGGTAGTGTTTTTCAAAAGCTTCCACTGACGACAACGCTTCTTTGAGTTTCTTATAAGGACTCTGAGCTGTGTTGGCTTGAACAAAAAAGAATGAAGAGGTCTTATTCATCTCTGTTGTGTCTGTTCAGTCACATGACTACACTCAAACGCTCACGCCGAGCTCACTGCCATCAAGTCCACTCTGGCTCACTCTGACTCTGAGGCAGAGTAGAGGTCCCCTGCACAGCCCTGGCGTCGTGCATCCTAAGGGAGGAGAAAGCCTCCTCTCTCCCGGGGAGTGGCTGGTGGCTCCAAGTGCTGGCCTCACAGTTAGCAGCCCAGTGTGCAATCCACTGCACCCCCAGGGCTCCTTCTCAAGTCCTCTGGGAGTCTGCCACGCTGACTAGGCGGTGCATATGACAGAGGCGGCTGTGCCAACCGAATCCATGACTAAAGATATTATTTCCCAATGAATGTATTTGTGAAATTGTGTAAGGCCTTCACAGAACACTTCCTCTGATCTTTGAGGCTAGAATTTTTCAGAAACACATACAGGCATACCTAAGAGATACAGCATGCTTAGCTCGACAGCACTTCAATAAAACAAACACCGCAGGGTGGCTACAAACCTCCAATTTGAGGAGAAAAAAAGGAGAATCTATGTAGCCCAATAACGCAAAACATAATAAAACGAGGTATGCCTGTCTTTCAAAAAGCCAAGTCAATCAAATTGCTCCCCAAATTACTTAGGAGGTCTCAAGTTAAATTGAGTGCAATGTCAGTGTGACACAGTGCACCCCGAAAACTCACTTACTTTAGCTGGAGCCCTTTCGGGGCTTGTTAAGTATTCTGCATACTACAGCGCCAGATCCCTCTTACAATGCTCACACCAAAAGAGAATTGGTAACATTCCTTTCACAATGCTTTGTCAACCAGGAGTAATTATGGTGAAAAGGGTGTATGTGTGAGGAATGTATGTACGCATCTATCTTTTTCTACTGTGGGGAAAAGATCGGCAATCGTTTAGAGGGAATAGGTGGTATCTAAACTTCACATGGCGATGCAGAAAGTTGTGATCAGCTGAACTACTGGAAAAACGAAAATATTCTTTAGCTTCTCATTTCTTCAATTATTTCCAACATTTCATGATGTTACTAACAGGTAAAATGTATTAATGTGATTTGCTAATAGCAAGAAAAAAACACATCCAGAATCAAAGTGCTTCTGACTTGTCACAGCGAGCGGCCCCTATGAGGGCAGAACTGCCCCAAGAGCTGTGCAAGGTTATTCTGTGCTGAAGCAGGCGGCCCGGTCTGTCTCCGAGGGCGTGGCTGGTAGGCACTAACTGCCAGCCTTTGTCAGCAGCTGGGCATTTTAACTACTGCATGACTTGGGCTCCTTGGAAAAGCTAACAGCGAGTACAGTCCCTCCCACAGCGAGTAGGTCCCTTCTTCGACCTCAGGGACACGGGCCGTGTTACAAACAACATTTTCATGACTTTGCACAGGACCTCTCATGTTTCTACAAGTACCTGTTTCTGGTCGCTCAGCGCCCAAACCTGCCAAAAGGTCAACTGTCCTGTTGAGGTCTTCTGAGTCAGGTCCTTTTTCTGACACGAGTCCACACAGATAGCCAAGGGACTTAAGCTGTTGCAATAAACCCACAATTTCAATAAGAGTAAGTGTAAAACTTCAAATGCAAGTAAAGTCTAGAAGGCATTTAAGTTTCAAATCAAAAGAATCCCTCTCTAGAAATAAAGAGCTCAGGGAAGGATTAATTCCCGACTCCTAGACTACAGTTCCCCGAGTGGCTTTGAGGGAGTAACCCTCTGTGCATGCCACCACACCCCTACTGACTGTCCACTAAACTTCCTGGGTGCCTGACTGCTCCGCCTGCTCGAGACCGAGCTTCCCTTCGGCGCCACTGCCAACACCTGCTCAGACGTCATTTCCAGACTCAGGCCATGGGTCAGGCTTCCCCCTCTGTGCACTGCTCCCGCCTCCCACCCAGGTCTTCTACTTTTTCCAGATGTGCAACATGGGCAAGCAATGCCAGAAACCCCTCAGATTCATTATGCAATTGATTTTAAAGTAATTTTTGGCCAATGTATGTTCAGAAACATTTCATGGTTTACAAATGTGTCACACCACCCCCACGTTCAGTTCCAAGAACCCCTATTCAGTTGCACAACCTCCATATGAGGTCACAGACCAGTTTAGGAAGCCCTGACATAGCCCCGCAGCTCCACCAAATGCTTGATGGGCTGCTTTAGAAATGGCTATAGACTGGGGAGCCACAACTTCCCAGGCTGTGGCCGGAATAGGCAGTCAGCTCTGCGCACAGGGTGCCACCCAAGTCGGTTACCTTCTCTGTGGCGTAGCTCCACAAGCCCACAGTGTGCGCGATGTTCGAGTCTATCTGCGCCCGGTCGCAGCAGCCTTCTATCCTCTGCAGCACCTCCAGACAGCTCAGAAACACCCAGCAGTCCAGAGCCCCGGGGGGGACAGACACCTGAGAGGGCACACGGGTGGGCATGTGGTCAACACGCAGAGCTTTCACAGCCGAGCAGTCACCTGTTCTAACGGCGGCCTCGTCTGCAAAGCTCTGAGAGAGGAAACGAGAGCACTGAGTCCAAACGGGCACGATCTACACCCAAATGTGCTGGCTGCCTTCACAGTGCCGGTATGATGACGAGTGACTTAGCACGGCTGGAACATTCAGGCATGTTATTTGGGGAAAGCCCACAAGGAGGCCAACTCTCACCAGAGACCCTACGTTCAGGAACTGGTTCCAGCTCAGTTGGAAGAACAGAGGCTACAAGAGGATGGTGAGAGGATGACAATTTAGCTTTCAGAGGAATAGCTGGTCACATGTAAGAAAGACATGTGCAATAGTAGAAACCTGAACATTAAAGACGTATGAGGTGATTCTTAGCATTGCCCAGTTACTTTGTCAGGCATAGTACCGTTTTGTTGTTTTAAAGCTTTTGTTACTTAGGACTATGTGCTGGAATATTTACAGAAAATACCCAATGTCTTAAATTTACTTGAAAAATAGTCTACGAGAAGGATGTGGGAGACTGAAAATAAGAATCTGGCATAACTAGTAACTGTTCATTCTAGCATCTGCCCTGCTTTTGTACAGCTTTGAGTCTTTATACAGAAAAGCCAAACAAAATAGAACACTTCAGAATTGCAGGAGCACCTCCCACTCGGCAGCCCTAGAATGCTGTCTCCCAGTGTGGCGGTGTGAAACAGAAGTGTGCCGGGAGATATCGCCGCACCATTACCACAGGCTGGGTGGACGTTTTTCTCCGTGACATCACTATCATCGTGTATCTTTTGACTTGTGTTTAGCTTTCATGACATGTTCCTCAGCATGCTGCAGAAGAGAAAGGGATGGGCGTAGTTCCCACAATGCATAAGTTAAGAGCTGCAGGGGAAGCTGGCTGTATCTGATGTCCTGGAGACACGTGGGCACAAAAGAAAATACCTCAAGGCCGCAGTAAGCATTAAGAGCCAACCAGAAAGAACTAAAGTTCTCTGTGCCTAGAAAATGTTCCTATAAAAGCTAAACAGTAAAATCTTTAAGAGAGATGGAAAAGAACTGCAACAATCTTTTGAAGAGAAAAATTAGCATAGAAAAATGCAAAGGCTGCTTTCATTATGTCATTTTTCTGGTGCACATGAAGGATCACTGGGGAGGGGGTGCTGCAGAACAGACGGGACACTGCAGGCCCCAGCTCTAGGCTCTGAGCAGCACAACTGGCTTCCTAATCAATGAGACGAAGACAGGCTCTGGGGCCAGGCAACCTGGGGACTGTTCCCTTCATCAGACACTACCACCAAAGGTACCAATCCTGTCATAGCATCTGCCAAACATACCATCTCTCCTAGGACGCACATAGAATTCCTGAGGTGGAAGAAGAGCATCTGCAGGACTGTACCCAGTGGTTCAGGGAATCGGGGACTTCTGATTTCAAAAAATCTAGAAAGCAGAAAGCGAAAACACAAGAGCCAGAGCAGGGGACCAGTGGCAGGGACGGAGGGCAGACAGTGATCAGGCTCGAGTCAGCCAAGTTCCAGGAACAATGTGCCTGCCTGCACCTCTCAGCCTGAGGACCACGCTCCACCCAACAAGTGAAAAAAAAGCAAGGAACAAAACAGCATGGTGACCGGATGGCAGCATGCACCCAAATGGAAAAAATTTGGAATGGAAAGATATATACTAACATGTTCAGAGTATTTATTACTTTGTGTTGCAATTATGGAATGATAGTGTCCTTGGTTTATTTGTTTGCTGCAAAGAACAGGCACTGTTTAGTAAGTTGGGGGAAACGATTTAAGAAATAGAAGCAGTAGTCAGCAACAAATCTCCTACAGGTAAAAACCTCCACCCTCATCACCATAGATCAAACGCTGGCAAATAGGGTTCAGCAGCCAGGCCTGCATGCCCGCAAGATCATGAGGCAAAGGCTACTGCCTGTGGTTCAGGTGAATGACCCCACTGTGGGGACACAGGATTGTACCTGGAGTAACAACTACCAATCTCCCCACAAGAGCCCCGTTCTGCTCAGCCCACCCCTCTTCTCTCCAGGAGCTCACATGCTGCACTGTGCTGGCCTCTGCCACCAATTCTTTTCATTATCTTGAGTGCTTTAATTGCCTCTACTTTCAGAGTTCGAGGATCTCTGGTGCTGCAGAGGTTACAAATTGGGCTGCAATCCGCAAAGTTAGCAGTTTGAAACACTAGCCACTCTGAAGGAGAAAGATAGGGCTTTATGCTCCAGTAAAAGTTAGTCTTGGAAACTCACAGGGGCAGTTCTACCCTGTCCTATAGGGTTGCTACGAGACAGCATCAACTAGATGGTGATGAGTTTGGGTTTCAGAGGTACTTCCAGCTTCCTACATTTCTTATCAACCAATCATTTGAAATTTAAATTTTCATTGAAAAAGACACCCATTGCCATCAAGTTCATGCCTACTCACAGTGATCCTATAGGGCAGAGTAGAGCTGCTCCACCGAGCTTCCAAGACTGTAAACCTTATGGGAGCAGAAATTCTGCCTCATCTTTCTCCTGCAGAGCAGCTGGGGGCTTTGAACCACTGATCTTGTGTCTAGCAGCCCAATGAATAACCCACAAGGCCACCAAGGCTCCCTGAAGAGAATAATTTAATGTAGGCATTAACCTGATACAGACCTCCTGCAGTGCAACAACTACAGTGCTAGTTGGCGCTTCCATTCAGCAGACTCCCAGTGCCTAACTAAGCTACAGCTCCCCGAGGAGGACAGGCACCCTCTTCCCTCCCACAGGGTTACAGCCTGAGCAGGCCGGGCTCCACAGCAGCCAGACTTTCAGCAACAGCGCTGCCGACAGTCAGAAAAATGAATGGAACACATTTATTTAAACAAGGTAACTGTGATCGTATTTTTTCATTACTTAAAAAATAAGGTACACAGTGAGACTCATGTAAGGTACATAGTCGACACTTACAGGCCGACCAGTGCTCGTGCCTGTGACCAGCCATGTGGGTGATCCCCTACATCTAGAGGGCCCTTCCATGTGCCAGGAGGCTCCCTCCTGCCTTTCTCAGTCTATACCCACTGCTCTGACTGCTATCACAATCAAGGACGTTTCTCTTTTTTCACTGTATCTACGTGAAATCACACAATACTAGTGTGCTGCCCGCACAAGTTCGTGTATAATGGACTTAGCGAAAGAATGGGATTTTCCCACCAATTTTTGAAGTCTCCTTGTATGTCCTCTTCTTGTACAAGGCTTCTTTCTACCTTGGGAACCAAGTAGGGCTCCCACAGTTTCTGGGATGAGAAGTGAGGAAACCATCTTTCCGAATAGTTACTGGCCACCTGGATACTCTCTTGTGTGAATAAAAAACCTTTAAAATGCATTTAAGTGCTTCTCTCTCTTTTGTTTAAGCTTTTTTTAACTTCCCCCACTTCTCCCGACTTCACAGTATCATCATCAATGAACAGCAGGAACCATTTCCCATTTCCAAGCTTTAAAAGTATCCTTTTTCTGGTTTATTTTAATGAGCCTACACTGTGAGTGTAACTCCTCTGATGGCTGCTCACCAGCGAAGCAGCAGCCTCGCAGCCCTCAGACCACCAGGCTTTCAGCTGGTAGCCACGGCAGACCGCGGATGCCCCCAGGGTCCTCCCTGTGACGGGAACAGCACGGCCTTCTAGAAGATATCGTCCTGACAGTGTTCTCCCCTTCAATCTGGTAAAGATGACAGCATGCGCACATCACCTTTTTCCCTTACCTAAAAGTTGCAGACAAGCACTGTTAGTGTGACTGTGAACGTGAGACCTTTCTGGAAGGCGATCTGACAATGTATGTGAAAAGCCTGAAGAGCATGTCTACCCACTGACCTACAAGTTGGACATACACGAATTTCTACAGAAGCATTCCAGATAGGACACAGCCTGCTGCCACTGCAACACCCTGTGAACCATCTGAATGCTCACACAGGGCTACGGCTAGAAAAGCTAGACCCCGAAGGAACCTCTAGCTGCTAGAATAAGCAGTGGCATTTCTTCTGTAGAGGTGTCTGAATTTTCCCAATTTACACAGAGAATATATTCAACTCTACCTCAGTGGAAGAGAAGTGTGAAAGTTGTCACAGGCAAAAGCTCTGCACGACACAGTCTGCAGTACCTAGAGTTAGCGCAGAACTAGTATACAGGATGGGTGCTACTCCTCTCACCTGGGCAGCTGTAGACTCGGCAGGGCTAGGTAACACACTGGCACCCAAGTAGTAACCCTCTGAGGCAGGGATCCAGGCGAGCTAGAGAGGGTGGGCTGTCTCTTTAACCTGGTCACACTATATTGCCTCCTCATCACATACAAAAACATACTTTATATCTGACAGGTGAATCAAATCAACCAGGAAGCCACTTGCTGTAAAAACCACAAAAGCAAATACATCAAACATTTCTTGCTAAAGAAACCTCCTAATATAGATTTAAAAAGGTCACAGGTTTCAAAAGGATTAACATCTGTAAGGACAGCCTTCAAGAACCCTGTGTCCACCCAGCCCATAAGCAGGCTGGCTCCAGAGTGTCTCTTCCTGGCTTCTCTCGCAGTCCAGAACACCACTTGGAGCCCCCCACAATGTGGGTGGGGGTCCTCAGCTTATTGCCGGCCTCCTGGCCACTGTCAGGAGTATGAAAGACAATCCAGCAAAGGGCCGATAGGCCTCCTGAACACGAGCCCACATCCCAGGGTGGAATGAAATGTTTAGGAAAAGTAAACCATTTCCCACCTTTTGGATTGTGAGTCTTTCTACAAAAATAACAACTTTAAAACTAAAATGTCAAGGTGATGGCCAACTGGAAATCTTAAGTTAAGATACAGTAACAACAAAATCATATATATCAAACAATGTCCCCTGCCCCCAGTGCCAAAAACCAAAAACCAGATAAAGACTCTATGTCAGATGAGAAAGTTGAGAGGATAATTTTGTGCTTGAAGTACTAGGATCACGCTAACAAATTTGTCTGTCTGGAACTTCCGAACTTTAAAGAACTACTCCGACAGGCCATCAATAAAGACAACAGTGACCTTCACCAGTCCTTCTGAAGGGCGGCCTATGTGCCCCGCGCGGAACTGGCTTTTTCCACGCACACTCACAAGCCACACTGCGGTCTTATCCCATCTCCACACCTTCGCCGTCAGCTCGTCTAGCTGTGGCGCTTTGTGTGTTCTACAATGCTGGAAGTTTTGACCCTGGTATTTCAAATATACCAGAAGGATTCAGCAGAGCTTCCAGACTAAGAACAGACTAGGAAGAAGAAATGGGTGTTCCACTTCTGCGGGACTGGCCACTTAGGAGAAGCAGAGGCACCCTGTCTTCAGAGCTGTCCCCTCAAAGTAGAGTCAATCTTAATGAACTGGACGAATAACTGTTTCGAGACTTTCGTCTGCTGCTGGGGGACAAGTCAAAAGCGAGAAGAAACAGCTGCAAATGTTCACTGTTAAAAATCAGAGTGTGGCATGTACAAAGAATGAATCTAGGAAAATTAGTTGTTAAAAATCAAATGGGATGTATTAAGATCAATATCCTGGGCATTAGTGAGATGAAACTGTTATTGGCCATTAGGAATCAGACAATCATACGGTTTACACTTCCGGGAATGACAAATTTAAGAGGAAAGGCATTTGATTCATCATCAAAAAGGCCCTTCACGATCTAGGATGAATAGAATTATATCCACACACCTATCAGGAAGACCACTTTATTCCAATGTACACACCAGCCACTAAAGCTACACATGAATTCTACCACCAACTTCTGCAGTCCAAAACTGATCAAACATGCAACCACGATACACTGAGAATGACTGTTGATTGGAATGGGAAAGTTGGAAACAAAGAGGAAGAATTGGTAATTGGAAAATATGTACTAAGTGGTGGAAGTGACACAAGAAACAGCATGACAGAATTTTGCAAGACCAACAAGTTAGTCATTGCAAACATCTTTCATCAACACCACCAATGGTGATTATTCACATTGACGTCACCAGATGGAATACAAGGGAATCAAATAGATTACACCTCTGGACAGAAGCAATGGAGAAACTCAAGATCATCAACCAAAACAAGATCAGGGGGGGCTGTGGAATAGACCCATGGTTCACATGCAAACGCGAGCTAAAGCTGAGGAAAGCAAATGCACGCACAAGAGCAAAAGTACATCCCATCTGGTTAGAGACCACCTCAAAAATAGATCTGATGCTCTGAACACTAACGACTGAAGACCAGATGAGCTCATGGAATGATACTATCACCCATGAAGAAAGCAAACGGCTGTTGTTAAAAAGACAAAAAATGGATGTCAGAAGAGACTCTGAACTTGCTTTTGAATGCAGACAACTAGCGTCCGAGTCTGGAAATAGGGAGGTGACTCACCAGTCTTGTGACTGATCAGAGTTCACACTACCCAAGTTTTAGTGGAGATCCCATCTACCATACTCCACTCAGGGGTGCCCAGACGGGAGAATCATTTTAAGACTCATTTAGAAAAGTTCTTAGATTATACTTCTAAAAGTATTAGCTATACCATTACTATACTGACTAAATCATTACTAGATAGTATTTTATACTATAAAAACTTTCAGTTTGGTGCCCCCAGAGAGTATTAAATAGATTTAACACTAGACTTGAAATCTTAACATGATTTTAACTTTTTCTCTTGCCCAAATGAACAGAAATTACCATATATACTCGAGTATAAGCCAACCTGAATAGAAGCCGAGGCACCTAATTTTACCACAAAAACTGCATTAAAAATGTGCTGAAAAACTTGGCTAATAGACGAGCATATACGGTATTTTAGTTAATTGTGAAAGGAAAAATTCTTATTTCAGAAATAATCTATTCAGTGCCTAGCGTGAATCACAAATTTCAGAACTGAATTTTTCTCATGCCATTTTATTTTGCCTCAGACAAGTACCGTATATACTTGAGTATAAGCCAACCCAAATATCAGCCAAGGCACCTAATTTTACCACAAAAACTGCATAAAAATGTGCTGGGAAACTCGGCTTATACACGAGTATATCCAGTAATTAGGCAAATGTGGAAAAATAACATTTTCTAACGCAAAATTCTTTGGGCTACCAATAACTGAATAGATTTACATAATCAGGTTTGGTTATGCAACGCTAGCCATAGATTTGAGAGGTGAGGACAAGGCTCCACATCCAAACCTCTAGGCAGGGACCACGGACTAGTAGGACAGGCCTGTGCTCCTATAGGACTAGAGATGTTACTTAAGACGCTTTTGTCTTATTAGTAAATGGGGAAGGAAATGGAGGTGTGTGTTAATAGGCTAAGCAGATACACACAGTACTTTCAAATCAAGTTAATTCTAGAAGAACTTGTTACAAAGTCTTATTAATTACACTGGTTGGGGCAGGTAGCCAGCAAAGCACCAGGGTTGTGTTGAAGACAGCTGAGTTGGCTCCTTCACTTAGGAGTGCATAGGAATGAATCCTCTACAGTCCTGTGTGCTGTTTGCATGTGCACATGTGCCTCTTCTAGACTGACCAACTTCAAGTTCCCTGATGCTACTGAAATGTCCATGCCACAATAAAACCGCTCAGTAGTTCTTGGGCAAGCCAATCTTTGCAGGCAAATGAAAGCCCACAAACTGGCTACTTTTACACTTGTGTGCACAGGCACATGCATACACTTATTCATAATATATCTTTAATTAAGCTTCTAAGTGTCAATCAACATGGCATGGCTTGCTGTGTGTATCACTCACATTGTCACCTGCATGTACACATGCAAAACCATTGGTTTGAAAACAGAGTTCTGGGGCTTCCTGCATGAAGGACAGACTGCAGAGGGCAGACTCACTTCCAGCAGCTTCAGCTCCTGCACACAGCTGTGCAGCAGCTCCAGGGCACGCTGGGCCACCTCCCAGGGCCGCTGCAGGAAGAGGAGCAGGGTGCACTGGCGGGAGAACAGGTAGCTACGCAAGTCTAGCAGGGTGGCTTCTTGCTTCTGGATCAGCTCCCGCTTCTCCATATCGATAGGCTTCCGGAGGATCAATCCATTCCAGCTCTTCACTGGCTGGCAGAAAAATGTCAGCCAGTTCGCACCATCTGAACAGACACACAGAAGTAAGCCACTGCTGGCAAGGCTGGGGACTCCAAAACCTCCTACAGGAATGGTAGCCTGACAACTGGGTTCACTCGCTAATCACTATCATGGCCCTTTCAGTTTGAGATGGGACTGTCCAGAGGTAGGGGAGAGGGCAGCACACATCAGGAGATGGGGCGGGTGAAGGTGCAAGGCAACCGGGCTCACGTTTCACCCGAGCGTGGCCCCTGTCTAGAAAGCATAGTGGGAGGCAAACCAGTGGCAATGCAAGCTGATTTGGGACGAGGGTGAGGGGCAATCAGTCAGCCCAAGAGAGGGCACTGGGTTGGCCTGAGGGTCTATAAAGATGCCCTAGAGGGTGGCATGCCCAGCTGACTATGGTGCTCTTCGTGTTTCTTCCTTGGCTCCCTCATCTTTCCTGACTCACACAATCCTCGTGCCTGGCCCTCAAATGCATCAATGATGTGAGCCAGGCTCCTAGTGAAGGAAAAGTGAACATAGCAGGGAGCAACAGGGAAATGCCAGCTTGTCAAAATTCTCCACCAAAGCTCCCCAATTGTAGCCAATCATCCAAAGGCTCACGATGATCGTCAGATTAACATGAGACTCTTTGGCAACAAGCCATTCATCTTTATAGAAAGTCAGAAAGCTGTTTTCTCAGTCTAAAAGGGAAGTGCCATAGCCAATTCATCCCACACTCACTTGATGTTACTGAGCACTGAAGGCTACACTCCACTAACAGCAGCCTGCACGGCTTTGAGTTTCAAAAGCCATGAAGACCGCACAGATGGGATCAGCTTTGAGGTGCCATGGTCCTTCTAGCTCTGCCTCTTTGCTCAGGGCTTTGCAATACAGCTACTTTATCTCAAAAACACAAAAACAAAAACCAGCACACTAAGTGGGCTACCCATGCCCACCTCAGGGCACCACCCCAAATCATCACTCTCCCACCCACATTCCCATCTCTGCACCAAAGCTACCTCCTCAGGGAGGCCTCCCCTGATTGCACATTTGTGCATTCTAGCCTCCTAACCTGTATCTTTCTTTTCACAGTACTATTACTATCTGATCTTAAGTTATATATTTACTTTTCTCGTGCCTGTTTGCTCTTCTATAAAGCAGGCCCATGAAGGAAGGGGGCTTGCTTTGTTCCACACTGTGTGTATAAAAATGCCTAATACAGAGTTGGGCTCATTTGTTAAATGAGGCAGCAAAAATGAACAACTTCTCATTCAACTATAAAACTGTCCAAGATTACTAGTGGATTTTACATTGCCCCAGATTTGTTTTTAAAGAGGAAAAAAAAGAAAAAACAAGTTAAAGATATTATGTGCATAACCTATATAAGAAACATAATATTAGCTCCCTAACACTTTTATTAAATAAATGCTTGGCTTTAACTCAATGTTCCCCAAAGTGGGCTGCTATATGGGCCCCTGAGGAACACTAGAACAATTCAGCAGGGCTGCAAAAGCAGATACCTAGATTTTATCCTGAATTATAGGCTATAGTACAAAAGTTTTTAATTGACATGGGGGCACTGAGTAATTTCTTTTTCTGAAAAGGGGGCAGTAGCCAAAGAGTTTGGCTTTAATGGTAATGTATGCATTTCTATCTTAGCAGAGTAAGCTAGCCAGACCTGATCATTCTAAAAATTGGTTTGGGGCAGGTTCAAATTAGTGACCCTTCATCCTTCACTTCCAGAGGAAGGAAGGTGTTCCTGCTAAAGTTGATCATGCCAACACTCCATCTTTGCACAGGGCTCCTGGCAATCACTGTTTTCTTTCCACAGTGTGACAAGGGCTCTCTGGAGCTCACCGACAAAGAAGTGTGCTGCAGCACTGCTTGAGGTGACGGCAGAGAGCACAGGCCACATACCAGCAACGGGAGATGGATCAACAACTGTGACTTACCCACCACACTGTGAGGGGTTAGGCAACTACTAACAAAACTAAGCACGACTCCCTCTGTCGACCTCAGAGAACTATCTATCGAATGTGACATCACTGCTTGCAAAATAAATGTCAACCCCCAAAAGTGAGGACAATTAAAATTTTTTCCCCTGTAGATGTTTTCTTTGTGCTAATTTGTAGTTTAACCTTTTGGCTTTCCTTAAGACTTCATTGCTGAAAAGTTATCCCCCCAAAGATGAATACCCAGGACAACAGTGCCATGAAATTCACTGTAGAAGGACTAAATAACAAAGGCACTCTCAACAGGAGAGGCTTCCACAAGCAGGCGGGGAAGGGCAGCATCACTGGTCCCCCGCTGCATGCAGAAATGCCACCTTACATCTGAAACAAACACACCTAAAATGTTGTCACACTTAAGATCCTTCCTAAAGTGAAAGTGATCTGATTCTTCATTCTCATTTCACTTTCCTTAAGAACCTAAAAACAAATCCCATCGAATTTCTGTTACTGAATAACAAAAGATGATTTAGTCATCAGATGAGTCAGCGACCTCTCTAGAGATAACTCCCTGAAGCAACCCGACTCACCGCCGGCACCGAAGTTGACGACGTACTGAGAAAACAGGGCATCCAGCTCATCGTACTGCACCAGGGCGTCTTCAAACTGCTGCAGCATCTCAAACACAAAGGCCAGTTCCTCCTAGTTACCAGGGGGAGTTCAAAAATGTAAAAACATGAATCAAATTCGTGAGATACTATACAATGCTCCTTTTATTACAACAGAGAAAAGCAGGCCACTGTGAACGGCATTGAAGCCCTGTTAGCTAGGACTCCATGTAACGGCCAGTGTGTCCACACTCAGCACCGGCAGCCAGGGCGAGTGGGGAGTTGAGAAGCACTGGGCACAGGAGGGCCTGGCCTGGGCAGGAGCACGGTCACATTTGCTGAACAAGAGAATGCCAGGAAAGGCAGCACAGGTGCTGTTCCTGTGATTTCATGTTAAAAAGAACTGGAGGCACACACCTGCCTAAGTCTACACAGACAGTATTCACATATTTGAGCCCACGTCCTATGGTATTAGTGGACTTCAGGGACCCCTGCAGGCCAGGGTGCAGCCCTGCTGGGTGGGAACTGAGCACCAGCTTAGATGTCCCTACTGGATTTAAATCACCAGCCATTCTCATGACACTGAGAGAGAGTGAAGAATACTGGTCAAGTTTTTGTTTTGTCTTACAGTCCTTACAGTCCTGGGTGAGTTTGGTGTTTTCTCAATACTGGCATGGGGTCGTTTTCACACCCAAGTGGTGGGGTGTATTTTTCAGTGTGAGGTTAAAAAAAAGATGTGGCAGTTTGCTTCTGTAATGACTGCAGCCTTGGAGCCCCAGTGGGGCACTTCTCCTCTGTCTTGCTGGGTCACTGAGTTGGAAGAAATTAGACAGCAGTGAATTTGGGGGTATTTTTGTTTGGGTTACGATTCAGACGCCACCACTTCCTGACTGTAATCCTGCTGTAGTTGTGTAAGCTGGGCAAAGGACTACAACTACCTGTGCCTGGATTTCTGTGTCTGTATAATGCAGCTCCCTCATCACCCGCATTAAGGTTTTTGTGTGGCAATTACATTAATTTCTGCCAAGTGCACAGAAGAGTCCTGGCATAATCAGGAGTCAGAGAGGACTGGCTATTATTCTTTCCACCAAACTACTGTCCAGAGATGTTGGGCAGAGAAACGTACTGTCTCCTCCTCAGCTCTACAACTCCTGAAGCTCTTTTGTATCTTGTTTTCCCTGCAAATACTGTTTGCAAGAGAAATTTACTTCCTTATAAAGTATTTTCTGTACTTGAATACTTAAATTTATTTTTAAATATCTGAGATATTTAAGTTTTAGACTTAATATCTTAGATACTCATAGTACGAGCCTCAGAACCAGAACATTAATGTTGGTCCAACACTATTAACTAAGCTAGTGTCCCATCACTCTTTCCACTCATTTCCTTTGCCTGGATCCTCTGGATCCTGCCCAGGAGCCCACACTGCACTACACTGCTATTTCAACTCTACAGCCCCCACCTCCCCACCCCCAGTCTGGAATAGATTTTTGGTCTCTTTTCTTCCCAGACATTGTTAGTTGTACAGAGTATGGTTTAAGTAGTGTGTGTGTGTGTGTGTGTGTGTGTGTGTGTGTGTGTGTGTGTTCTCTACGCTCCCTCAAGTTGGGTTAGTCTGGTGTTTTCTCAATATTGGCATGGGGCTGTGCATTTTTCCACATAAGTGATGTTGCCCACTTCTCAATGTATCATGTCAAGAAGTTCACTTTGTAATTTGGAGCCCTGGTGGTGCAGTAGGTTATGTGCTGGGCTGCAAACCACAAGTCAATGGTGTGGACCCACCAGCTGCTCTGCATGTCAGAGATGGGGTTTTCTGCTCCCGTAAAGACTTACAGACTCAAAAACTATATAAGGTCGCCATGGGTCCAAATCAGGGTTTTTTTTTTGTTCGCTTCTCTTGGACAGAATAAGGAAGAATATGTGTACTAGCATCGATCCATTTATCCATCCATCCAGAGAAGAGTTCAAACTGATACCTTCCACCCCAATCCAACACCACCCGGCCAATGTAGCCTTCACCATCTTTGTAACTCCTAGAGACTCAACCTAATGAGCTCCAAGGGCAGAATGGCAGAGCAGTATGAAAGGTCTACAACAGATCTAGCCGACAGAAAATGATCAACATATTCAAATTTCCTTAGATGTTCAAATCCAACTCACCAAATACACAAAGAATATAATCATAATAAATGAAAATCAAAATGTCTAATCAGAATTTTCCTTGTAAGTATTCACCCTGTAATATTTACTAAGTCAAACACAGGTAATATATAAACATGAAAATCATGCTTTTCAGTCAAAAGATGGTAGGCCAATAAGGAATCCTGAGAGTAAACTTCTTGACGTTCTTTGCAATATGAGAGGAGTTCCCCTTGCCCATAGTAATTGATTCCTTCTCCCTTTGTGAATTTAAGAGTTTCCCCTAAAAGGAAAAAAATAGCTGCTTCTGCAGTAAATATTCAGATGCTTAAACATCTCAATAACTTAACCACAGTGGCTGGGATGTGGTAAACACTCAGTGCAATGAAGTTACTTCTGTCATGATCACTGCCCACAGCTGTGGCTCCTCTGCCTAATTCATTTCCATAGCACATAGCCCCAAAGACCCCCGGAGACTAACAAAACCAAAATCACTCTGAGGACAATGCTATTTCAAAAGAATGCTACATGCCAAGCCCCCAAGCAGCAGGGGAGTTAATGATATAATCACTCCGGAGACCATCGCTGATCTTCTTTGAATGCCAAGAAGCAGAACCAGTCTACTCTAGAATTGCCATGATAAAGCTGCCTTCTAAGAAGGAAAGAGGGAGGGGAAAGGAAGGGAAGAGGGAATGGTTTAGTTCTGAGATTAGCAAGTACCTGAACCATGAAATATTCACAAAAGCTCCAGCCCGGCTCGGTCCTCTTCTCCCTCAAAGTTCTCATGTCATCTTCAAACTTGCCTAAGTTTTTGGTAAAAGACATGAGAAGCAACGTCCTGAGTTTGGTCAGGAAGGCATTCCAGGATTCCTGAGTTCGGGAAGAGTCCTTCAAGGGGTCGGACAGCACGACACACCTGCAAAGACATGAAGGGCCTACTTGTGAAAACCTCCCCAAATGGGGCTCCACAGCACCGGTTTTCTAGGAATTCAACTTTATTTCCTTCCTTCCCTTCCCTGCTCCCTCTCTCCTCTTCCGTTTGTTTTTAATTGGCGAAAAACACTAGGTAGGCAGTGAGGAGCCGGATTGGAACAGACTTCATCCTAAACAGACCTGAGGCTGCACAAGCCGTGAAGAGCCGGAGATTTGCCAGCAGCGTCTGTTACGGGATGGACTGGATGGGAAGAATGGCTTTAGGTTGAGTCTTGGGTAGACTCTGCCTCCGGGGTTCTTTGAAAAATAAGGTGATTGCAGGGGATTCGGCCAAACCCTCATTCATTTCCTTCAGAAGCCTCTGCTGGCTCCCCCATAACTCACAGGATAAACTGTAGATTCTTACCATGAAACTGTTACAAAACCATTACAGTATGGATCCAACCTGGTGTCTTGTATAGGCTCTTACTAACTCCAGTTCAAATCGACAGAACTCCTCATTCTCTCCATCTTTCCATCTAGCACATTCCTACTCCCCGGTCACAAGCTGACAGAGGTGTCTCCCCTGAATGACCTCCCTTCCAACTCTACCCCCTCCCACGAACACTGCCCTCTGCCCTCCAGCTGCTCTGCACCCACAGGGTCAGGGGTTATAAAAGACTTTTCCTCTTGGCAGCGGCATGTCTGCTTGTGCTTCGGGTCCTCAAGGTCAGGATAAGCAAATAAGAAATGCTTTAATCATGGGTAAACCTACAAACCTAGGTTTGAGACAATGTTACTACAAAAAGGCTTCTGACCCTTGGTGTAAAAATATCAAAGCCATACGATTACAAGAGCATTTCCAATGTGTCTAGAAAAGGCAATAGGGAGGGTGACACGTTCGAAAAGTCACTTTCCTTACCAGTGGTAAGAGGAATTTAGAAAGGAGACGGATCGATATTAATTCAGATGTCATTTTACAGCACTGAAGCCAGGCGCTTCAACACTTTCCTTTAGTTCATTGTTCACCTGAATTACCAACAGGAGGGAAAAAGTGGCTTCTAAGTTGCATTTTCTCTATGCTCAGCATACCCTTAGAAGGAAGGGCTAAAAAATATGAGATTATACAGCAGTGGGTGAAGCAGCCAACAGTCCACCAAGTGAATCATCAGTACCATGAAGAAAACCAGAAACAAACAACTGAGAGCTGACAGTAATTCCCGTCACCCCATCCTCCACACTGCGTCTTCTCCTGAAGATAAGAGAAGCAGGTGATTTGGACAGGCACCTGAAGAACTAACATTAACATCCTCTTTGCTATTTGAGCTGACAGCATCTACAAGTTGAGCCATTTATCTGTACAGTACAGACTGCTCCTCCAGGGTACTACTGGTGCAGTGGCAGCGGAGACAGTCACCCAACGCCAGAGCAGTGTCCTTCAGCAGCCGAGGCGCTCTCGTGTGAGACCTGTGCTCTCCTCGTCAGCACTGCACATGACGGTGTTCCCTCAGCCACTTCACACGCCTTGCAACACACCCTGCTTCTCAATCTTCAAGTGTCCCATTTAAAGAAAAAATAACTACGCTCCAGAAAGTCACAGCAAGTTTGCATGGTTAAGTCCAGGGGCCAACAGCTGCTCGGGAAGTGCAGCATGAAGCTGGGAGCTCCCCTCGGTGACCACTTGACTCTTGCCTACTTAGCAAGCCAGGCTGGCACCTGAAGATACTTACCAAATGCCCAAAAAGTGTGCAAAGCCTTTCCCCAACAATTCCTTTCAGGAATTTATCCCAAGGAACAATTAAGGATGCACAGAACACTGCAGCTAGAAAGACGCTCATCATACTGTCTCTAACAAAAACATAAGCAATACCGTAAGTGCAGCAGAAGACTGTGAAAATAACTTACAGTACATGAATACTCCTGGAGTCTCACATCCTCATTAACAATCGTGGTATAGAAACACAGTTTACTCTTTGTGGAAAAGTTTTTGCAAGATATCAAGTTAAAGGAAAATGTAAAATATGCTATTACTTCAAAATATGCAAATATACATATGCATATGTGTGTGCATGTATATAAACAGATAAAAGTCTGGAAAGATATGTTTCAAATTATTAAGAGTTGATATCCATTTTCATTTTGTTCACTGACTTTTTCTAGTAATTGTACAAATGTTGAATGTTTATAATAAAATAAAAATAAATTTTAAGTTTAAAAACGTGTACACTATATTAAGGCCAACTGTTTCAATACATCCAAATGCCAGGGTATAATTAAACAATTGTAATTCGTATTTACTAAGTTCAAATTGATTAAATTCTTACCTAGTTTTTTAACACTAAAAAATATTTGCTAAAGTTGACTGTGCAAATTAACATGCATCAAAATGCTTAAGTTACCAAAGACTAAATGTTCAAGAACTTTAGTAAATGAAGCTTTTACATATAAAGAATGATTGTTAAAAGCAATTTAAATGTAAGTGGCCTCAGTAAAAACAAGGTTCTGGAAATCAGATGAAATAACTACCAAAACTTTACAGAAAGAAATCAGCACTTTGAAAATGTTATTACAGAAATTGAACATTGAAAAAAAGTCAAACTAACATACTAAGATTTGACTTAATAAAATCCCACACAAATTCAATTTGTTTTATTTTTCAAAACCTCGGGCACCACTTGGTTTTGCTATCTGTCTCAACCTCGGTGTTTCATTACCCAACACTTGCCCCTCTGCCATGGTTGGCGAATTAGCTCACCTCTTGCCTCTGCTTTAGGATCACCCACTCTGTGTTCAGACCCAGACATGTTAGTACAACTTAATTCAGAAGGATATGCCCCCAGTGGTCTGGCATCTTGTTAAAATGTTAAAAAGCTGCCTCTTGGATAACAAATTTATTAATAATGACTGGCATTCAAGAAAATATAAAAACCCAGAAGTCCAGATGGTATGAAATTCCTCTATGCTAACCATGAGCTCAAAAATCTAGCATTTAATTCCAACCATAAATAAGTCTCTTCAAACACTACTCTGTGCCTCGTCTTGTGTGGAAACTCTACGTGGCCCTTCCCCTGAACAACCAGCCTCTCACTGGGCTGACAGCGGCAGGTGAAGCTACACACCAACTCCAACAGCAGAGCGGGTGTCACTGGATTGTCAGCACTCCAGGCTCTGTACACACAGGGTTTCTTTTCCACACACTCCCTAATTCCTTCTCATTCTTTATTTCTTACCCTAACCAGCACTTTTCTCAGGGAAGCCTTCCCTCGTGCCATGGGGTGGGCTGGGGACCACCTTCCCAATTCCAGGTCGTTATAGCACCTTCCCGTAGAGGATCACTACAGGGGTGCTGACAATGTGGTGCCCCCATGCCCATCTCTGCTACTGGATGCTACGTTGTACCAGAGCAGGGACCATGGCTATTTCTGCCACCCTAGCTCCCAAAGCCTGGCACGGTGCTGGGAGCATAGCAGTCCAGACTACGTGCTGGGTGAGTGAGAACACTGGGCTCTGATATGCAGATCACGAGTGCTACGCACGCCAGGAGCTGAGGGTCACAGCAGCCAAGGCCATCAGAGATGGCATCATCAAGAGAGAGGAGGAGCGAGTCCACAGAGCGAGTCAGAGGGAAGACCGGAGACACCAGCCCACAAAATGAATGAACTCTCAAAGGCTCATTCCGAAGTGAGGGAAGGAGATTTTTAAGTTAGATTTTTATTTTTTTTAAAAACTGCTGAACTCTCAATAGGTGTTAAGTCAAACCAACAAAACGAAGGAGGCCTCCCTCAGTATATGACCACAACATCCTCTTCTCCCAAGCCACGCATGTGGGCAATGACTGTCTGTAGTCTCTCATCTGCCCCACTAGGACGTCCGGAAGCGAGGGGCCTGGTCTTCTTTTCAGAGTTACACCCAGTGCAGCCGCTCGTGAAGGCAGAGCTCAGAGAAGAGTCAGTATTGTGCAGAAAGCACTGACCTACAGCAGATTAGCCAAAGGAGGTAAAAGGGACACTTACCTGTCACTCTGCTTATTACAAAAATCATTTCTTATTTTGTCCACAATAGATGTTCGGGGGAGGATGTTGGTTTTGTTTTTTTTCTTGGCATCATTTTCAACTACCACTATTAACCAGTCCACAGAGCTATGAGCTTTCAGAACATTCTGCCATTTGGTGAGGTCATCTTTTACTGTCGCTTTATATACTTCAGTATCCTAAAAATAAACAAGTCACGTGAAAGCACGTTAATCAATGCCCATTAGCTGCTCAGGCAGAACTGGCCCATCACCGAGAGCTCTTGGCCACAATGCTTTAGAGCAGCGGTTCTCAACCTCTGGGTCGCAAGCCCTTTGGGGGTCGAATGACCCTTTCACAGGGGTCGCCTAAGACCATCATAAAACACATATTTCCGATGGTCTTAGGAACATAGACATTGTGCTCCTCTATCCCTCTCGAGGCGGGTCTGCCCACATGCAGATACGCCCACATACGAGTAAAGACTGTTACCCATGCTACAAGACAAAATTTCATTTATTTGTAATTAAAAATAAATATTTCACAATATAGAATGACATATTGTTTTGTGATGAATCACTATGCTTTCATTATGTTCAATTTGTAACAATGAAGATACATTCTGCGTATCAGATATTTACATTACGATTCATAACAGTAGCAAGATTACAGTTATGAAGTAGCAATGAAAATAATTTTATGGTTGGGGTCACAACTGTATTAAAGGGTCGCGGTAATAGGAAGGTTGAGAACCACTGCTTTAGAGTGACAGTAGGCACCATGGGCACTGAAGGGGGAGACCAAAAACCAACCAGGTCACTGATTGCATGTGTGCTGTGCAAGCCCTAGCAGCAAGCCCTTCACGTACATCGTCTCAAAATACAACACTGAGATTTGCGGCCATTGCAACTCTATAGAAGAGGGCACTGAGGGTTAGAGAGCTCAGCTGACCACAGTGATGCACCTGGTTAGACAACCTGGTACTTGAAGCCACTTTCAAAGCCTCTGTGCTCACACACCCAATTAACACAGGCCCCCAGCCCATTTCCTAGTGGTCCCTCATACACCCCTGTGCTCAGCTAGTTCTCATGGTCACAGCAGGACCAGGCAACTGAATGTGCAGGCCCAAGAGAATAGGTGAACACAGCACTTCTTCAGATGAGCGTTTAATTACAAGCCCCATCAGGGCACTCCACTGGCCATAAAAATCAACCCACTGCTGGTGCCAGGAAAGTGCCTATGGGGAAGACACCTTCCCTTCCTTCCCTCACGGAGTAGAAGGAGGGAGATGATAGGCATCAGCACTGCAGAGACTCAGCACGACAGAATTAGTTACTTATTTGTAATCTATACACCTGATGGTACTCAAGTCACTGCCATCAAGTCCATTTTTTTTTTTTCAGTGAGTGAGTGAGTGAGAGAGTGAGTGAGTGAGTGAGTGAGTGAGTGAGTGAGTGAGT